TTTTCTTAGAGTTAAAACTATTAGGACAATAAATTTTATTCGTAGGCTTTATTTATTTTTGTACGCTTATTCATTAAAACAAAATATGGGTAGACTTTAAACGGTTTGGTTTATTTAAAAATTATTATTAATATAATATTAATTTAGTGCTTTATTTTTAATTATTATACGCAATAGAAAATGTGTTTAATAATTTATCAAAAAATTAAATGTATAAAAATTAAATTAATTTGTATTTCTTTATTATTTTTAAAAAATATTTTTAAAAAATAGCCCCCAGTGAGGATTGAACTCACGACCCCTGGTTTACAAGACCAGTGCTCTAGCCACTGAGCTATGGAGGCGTTCAATGATATAAATGCGTTAAATACTTCAACGTTATTTTATATAATAATTCTTCGTTAAAAACTTGACAGGTTACACAATTTTAATTTATTTTCGCACAATCCGACGACCGCACAATATCCCCTTTCATTTTTAAAAAGTTTTCCTATTCATACATTATTTAAACAATTTGATTTATCAAACCACATCATTGACAAGCGCGGTTCAAATAAATCTCGCAGCACAAACTCGCATTTTACCCGTAGTTTTATAACAGTTTTAAGAAGCATTTTACCATTTCGATAGTTCAAATCACACTGCAACGCACCCCAACTGCCTCATAGTCATGTCAACACAGCTGCTCACATTATCCCTCCATATACCGAGTTCACAGAAACTGGTGAACTCTACTTCACTTTCATAAAGGAAGATTATTTTCGTCTTATAGAGTGAGGCTATTATTAATTCGCGAGAGGCTAGAAGTAATTTTGCAGAAATTCAAAATTGGAAGCGATACATGTGGATTATAATAATAAGCCACACATAAAATAATAGCGTTATATGTGATTATAATAATACGCCACACATACAATAATTATAATGCATCAGATATAATTAGGCTAATGGTAGGGGGTTTGGCTCAATTAACTCGACTTAGCCTATAATTTGTGTTTCTTAAATCAGACGAAAGCGTGTGAATATTTGTCTGTGAACTCTTAATAATATGGCATGTATTGATAGAAATATTATGTTTCTAAAAATAACTGGTGTTATCTGGGCGTCCAAAAACTAGGCCTCATCAGTCTTCCCCCTCCCCCCTCCATTGTTATTTCAAAAAATGATTTCCTTATAAAATACAAACTATCAACAATGAGTATCTTCACTGAGTCTGTCGTTAATGTAAGGCCCACAACTTCCCAACAACACCAGTGTAGGCTTACATTTATTTAGTGTCAGTTAACATCACAGATTTTTTTTTATTATCTTCACAGACTTTGGATCTTGAAGACACAACCACCATGTACCTGCTTTGGGCTTTTACGTTTGTTTTTCTGGTGATTTCCCAATGCGCACACGGAGACCTACTTCAGCAGCAAGTTCTTGCAAAAAGCGCGTCCGGATTTTCCCAAAATTTGTACCGCCAAGTCGCAATTTCAGAGGAGCAAATCGTTTATTCTCCATACAGGTGATAGTGATTAACTTTTTTTTACTGATTGTTAATTAAAAGCATTTACCCCGAAATTTTAAAAAATACATACTTTAACCAGCGTTGCATCGTTGATTCGATACTACAGCTTTCGGTATTCCTTGATTTTTAATTTAAAAATTCTCCACTTTAATAACTTTGCATGCATCCATTAGAAAATGGTAGGACGTACAATTGTCATTTTTGTGTTACCCAGCATTCATTCGGCCTTGACCATGACCTACCTTGGAGCGAGAGGCGTGTCAGCGAGGGAGATGAGTCAGGTCCTGGGGCTGACGTCACTACAAGACCCCCATCAAACCTATCATGACCTCATCGTTGATGTAGGTTTAAAACCTAAACTGTTAGTTTTTATTATATTCATTTATTCGCCCTTATTCACTACAAGATCCCCATCAAGCCTACCATGACCTCATAGCTGATGTAGGTTTAAATCCTAAACCGTTATTTTTTATTATAATATGCATTAACATTAATAACTGCTCATCATCCTTACTGGGGTATGGGCCACGAACCAAAGACCTCCAAAGTTCTCTGTAATGAGCTATGTATTCAATGTGATTTAAGTTGTACGAGCCGACCCGCGGCGTATCATATGCCGCTATTTAGTTGTTTTATTTTCTACTTTTCAGTAATTCATAATTTGTGAATTCGACAGTACCAATGAAAATATTTGCTTTAAAACACTATCAGTAGTTCGTTGAGGACGATACTACCCCCACCCTCCTTTCCCCCAACCCTTACCCTACACCCCCCCCCCCCCCCCCCCCCCGTGAAAGCAGCCTCCTCTTAGTTACCTACCCTAAGTTTAAAATCGTTTGAAACTAAATTACCTGCCCCTAGTAACCGTCACTAAACATTTAGCGTGAACCAAAGCTCGCCAGACCATGTAGGGGTGGGGTGGTAGGGAGCGCGCTTACAGCTTGTTTTCTAGCGTCTCCCAGAAGAGAATTATATAGATTTATATAGATTCCATCTTAGTGGCGTCAGCCTAAGGTTGCCTCGCCCGTCGATACTTGCTAAAGTGTATACTTGAGTGACTAAAAAATCCTTATCTTCTGTAAAGAACAGTACCATTCATTAGTTAAGATTGGCAATTTTCTAGCCCCCACCCCTGAAGAAAATATCGTTACACATTTTTAGTCAGTGGGGTAGGACACAGTTCAATAATGTAGCCTAGCCTCAAAACAAAATAAAACGGGCGTGATATCCCCTGAACTTCCTGGTATATTCCTAAATAACAATACAAGGGTTGACATATCCAGTTCTATAGATATGTGGTGTTGTTTTTTAACCTTTCTCGTATACATAGTATAGAGGAAGTATTGTAATCGTGCACATAAATTGAATGATATTTTGACAGTTTTTGTTGTTTTATACCTCCCTACTTTATCGTATATGGAATTATAATACTTCCTCTATACTTTGTATACGAGAACATAAAAATCTATGTATCTTATTGGATTTGCTTCCATAGCCTTTGTCCAATCAAGAACAAACTACATGGCAGCAGTTGTTTGATTTTGGAGTTGTCTCTCCTAGAAGAGTTGCTGTCCCAAGTCAACAAGCCTCGTCTGCCCGAGGGTTCGACATTTGAGCAACCATGAGCCTTACCGAACTTTCCCCTACCCATTGTTTTTATAGCTGTAGTTTAAAATTTATATAACTGAGATGTTGTTCTACAATTATTTCAGTGGAACTCTGCCGAAAGTGTCCGGTTGGACGTCTGCAACGCCATCTTCACCAACCCGTACGAGACGATCCTACCGTCTTTCATCTCTGACGTCGACAGGTACTACCTGGCTCCGGCCAACAAACTGGACGTGACAGAGCCAGAGAGGGCCATTAACGAGCTGGTCGCCAACAAAACCCACAACATGATTCCAGAGATCCTCAAACCTGGTACGTTATAGAAACTTGTAAACCTTACTAGGCGTTGAGACATCCGGTGAGGCAGAGGCGTAGCGACGGGTGACACCATTTAGGGGGGTGACACCAAGGCAAAAAATAGCAAAATATATAGAGAAAAACTTGAGGGGAGTGCAAATCGAAAGTTTGAGGGGGGGTGGAAATCGAAAATTTGAAAGTTTGTCCCCGGGAAGGGTCGCTATGCCTCTGGTGGGTGACACAGCATTAAGTGCCGCACCGGGTGACACCCGACCTCGCTACGCCACTGCGGTGAGGTCCAACGGTAGAGCGCACGACTGCTAAAGCGAAAGTCCCGAGTTCAGTTCTGATGGTTACGTGACTCACGTTAAAAAAGTAAAGGCGCTTAGGTGTAGTGATAGTAAAGATCTCTTTCTAACCTGACGGTCCATTAGCCAAGTGGAGTTAAGTTCACCTGTTTCTGTGACTTCGGCATATGAAGGAATAGTGCATTATGCCGAACAGCCTTTACTTTCTCTAACTTGAGTTAGGTATCCTTCAGAGTTGGGGGACTTTAGGGACGTTCTATGTACTGAAACCAGATTCGAACTCGAGACTTTCGGGTTAGCAACGGTACTACTTTTCGGCTACTCTGTTACCTCTAGGTATAGTACACACTGTCCCTTCACAATCAATGGTCATTGAAACACGAGAGTTCTAATTCCTCTGCCTCACTGATCGCTAGGATACATCTACATGTTTTTGTCAATGGATATTGCCGATTTCATGAATCCCACTTAACCTCATGGCTCACAGTTAATGGCTGGAATTTTTTAATGACTTAAAACATGTGAATTATTCTTTTATCACATTTGATCTAAAATCGGACTTACACTTTTTTTACATTTAAAAAATTATTTTTTTTTCAACAAAAAAAAATAATTTGATTTAAATGCGTTGAAAGGGAGTCTTGATGACGGTACGGACATAGTTCTAGTCAATGTGGTTTTCTTCAACGGCACTTGGGAGAACCAATTTCTCAGTGAACTAACACAACAACAAGACTTCCACAAGCTTGGCGGAGCGATATCACAGGTACTACTTTTTCACTTAAATAGTAACTTCGACTTAGTCGTGGTATCAAGTTTTGGATGTGTTAAAACTAATATCACACTGAGTTCAATAAACAGGTCGTCCACAAGGTAGCTAAAGCTGTTTGAAAAGTACAAATTCTCACTTAACAATAGCCATGCTAGGGGTCGGCGTGGTCGAGTCGGTAAAAGCTTATGGTTGCTAAAGTCTCGAGTTCGAACCCTCGGGCAGATGAGGCTCGTTAGCTGGGGACAGCCACTCTTCTAGGAGAGACAACTCCAAAATCAAACAACTGCTGCCTTGTAGTTTGTTCTTGGTTGGACAAAGGCTATGGAAGCAAATCCAAAAAGAAAAGCAGGCTGAAATTGGAGTCAATGGCCTCAATGGTGCATAACCAGTTGACACGTAATCCTTAATTGTGATGGAAGCATGGTCGAGTCGGCAAAGCTCATGGTTGATAAATTCGAAAAAGTCTCGAGTTCAAACCCTCTGGCAGATAAGGCTCGATCCCTCCCAACACTAAAAATTAAGAACGAAGAAGAAGAAGAATAGTCATGCTCTATAAAGTAAACAGAACGTCGCTGAGTCCATCCAGCTCTAATGGGTACCTGACTCACGTTACAGAAAATAAAGGCGGCCGGGCGTAGTGTTGACTCTACTATCACTTCATATACCTAGGTCACAGAAACAGGTGAAATCTACTTCACTTGCCCCACGGACCATCAATTTCGAAAGGGAACTTTACTATACTTCACTATAAACACATAAAGTAAAGATGAATTACCGGAGAGTAGAGTTTATCTCTTTCCATGACTTCCGTGTATGAAGAGAGAGTGATGTCAGTTTTATGCCCTCCGCCCTCATTACGTCATACATGAGTCAGGTACCCGTCAGAACTGGGTGGACTCAACGATACGGTGCCGGCACGAACCCAGAGTCTGAACTTTCGTCTTAACAGTCATGTGCTCTAGCGCACGGCCACGCCATTCAATTCTTCACAATCTTAATACAGCTTTTATAATAATTTAGAATATATAGTTTTCAGTGAAAATGATGTTTTTAATCATTCCACAATAACCCGGCCATTCTTGTATTTATGGGTTGTATATTGTGTGAGTATCGTATATTCATATTTTAAACGTCTTCTAAGTATTGAATGTTTGCAGAGGCGTAGCGAGGGGGGGAGGTCGGGGGGTGCGGACCGCACCGGGTGACACCATTTGGGGGGGGGGGGGTGACACCATTTCAAAAAATAGTAAAATATATAGAGAAAAATTTGATGGGGGGTGCAAATCAAAAGTTTTAGGGGGGTGCAAATCGAAAATTGAAAGTTTGTCCCCGGGAAGAGTCTCTACGCCTCTGGGGGGTGACACCAGTGCCGCACCGGGTGACACCCGACCTCGCTACGCCACTGAATGTTTGTATTGCTGTTTGACTTCAGGTTTCTATGATGAATGAGGCGGAGAAACTGAAGAATTACAAGAAAGACAACGTCAATGGAGTTGATGTTCTAGAGCTACCTTTTAAAGGCAACCGATTCTCGATGTACTTCGCTCTTCCTCAAAAAATGGATGGTATTTCAGACTTGGGTAAGGTCAGCCCCCACTCCATCCCCAACCCCCCACCCCTAAGCACACTCACGCACAACCACACACACTTACTCACATCCAACCCTTACACATGCCTCTAGTTAATTTTTCGACGGTTTGATGTTAGGTCTATGAAAAATGCCCGAAAGACACTTTCCCGATGTCATGCCCGAAAGCCACTGGCTCGAATGTCGATTGCACTGAAAAAAAATTATAAGAAATTTGCATGAATTTGCATTTGGCATCTTGATCGTTTGCGCTATTCAACGTGAGGGGCGGCATGGTCGAATGGTAGAGCACTCGGCTATTATGCCGAACATCACGAGTTCGGATCTCGATCCGGATTCGGGACTGTAGGACGTCTCTGAGTCAACAAAGCTCTTATGTGTACCTGATCTACGTTAGTTAAACTTAAGGTTGCTGGGCATAGTGCTGACCACACCATCCCATCATATACCGCAATCAAGAAACATGAATTCTACCCTATCAATCTTTAGATCTAAAAGGAGAGCTTTACCATTTTTTTCTACAATTCTAAGTATACAAAAATCGAACCATTGTAAATATTTTTTAAAGATTTAGTTTTTGTACCTTCGGTTGCAGAAAACCTACTGGCTACCCCGGGCAAGGTGGACGAGTTGTTTGATGGTCTGACCTCTAAGGTGGTCAGGGTCAGCCTGCCCAAGTTTAAAATCGAGACGTCACTTGATCTCATTAATCCACTCATAGAGCTGGGGATGTATTCGGAGTTCGATGACAGGGCGGATTTCAGCGGAATTAACGGATTAGGTGAGTTGTTTTATGTTAGGATGGGTTTCAGCGGAATTAACGGATTAGGTGAGTTGTTTTATGTTATGTCTGATTTCAGCGGAATTAACGGATTAGGTGAGTTGTTTTATGTTAGGTCTGATTTCAGCGGAATTAACGGATTAGGTGAGTATTTTTAAGTACAGGAAGGGTTTCAGCGGAATAAATGGATTAGTAGTTATTTTGTTAGGTCTGATCTCAGCAGGATTTAACGGACTACGTGAGTTATTTTAGAACAGGGCGGTTTTTAGCGGAGTTGACGGACTAGGCGAGTTGTTTAATGATAGGGTAGGTTTCAGCGGAATTAACGGATTAAGTGAGCTGTTTTAATACAAGTAGGGTTTCGGCCGAATTAATAGATTTGTAGAGTTAATTTATGCTAGGATTTCATTGGAAATTAACGGATTAGGTGAGTTGTTTTAGAACAGGGCGGGTTTTATCGGAATTAACGGACTAGGTGATATGTTTCACGACAGGCTGGGTTTCACGGAATTAACGAATAAGGCCAGATTTGTAACGGGACTTGAAGGTCTAAAAATGTACCCTTACGAACGTGGCGGTCAATGGGGTAGAAGGAGTACCGGTTTCTGTGACCTCAGTATATGAAGGTGTATATGAAGGTCAATTCTATGCCCAGCCGCTTTTACTTTCCATAGGTGAATTCAAGGACATCCTACAGATTTGAACGCTTCCTACGTACTCGTGATTCGCGTGTTAGCAGGCGAGAGCTCTACCGTCTGACCACACCGTTCCCCATACATGGAAGTCTACCCCAATTTATATATATATATATATATATATATATATATATATATATATATATATATATATATATATATATATATATATATATATATATATAAACCTACTTACCCCCCACCCCATCTTAACTCAAAAGCTAGATCCGCCTTTGCATCGAAGTCAGGAATGATTTATTTAATGCCCTTTTAGACACTTGAAATATTCAGGGAACTGCAATGAAAGCCAGATACAAGATCAGAATTTGTTTAAAAATGCTTTACAACATGTTATAAATAAGTGCAACTGTATAGATTCTATTAATTGCCGAAATATTTGCGATATCTTTTTATGGGTGAAAAATGAAATAAAAGTCGTTAGCGACCAAATATGCACCAAAGCTGGTGCAGACTGCGTGCGCACTGAATTTCTAAGGTGCGTACTAATGCTGCCACTTCATGCTAGCGACCATATGACGTTTATGGTAATAACAGATTGGATTCCTGAGATTAAAAAGTTTGATTCGCAAAATGAAACGAATTTTTAAATTATCATAATTAATTTAATAGATAATTTTAAAGGATTAAGTAAAAATTAAACTAGTATTACATTGAGGATCATAGTCAGGTTTAGGTAGCTTTGATGCGCCATGCAGAATTTCTCTGTTGTTTCACGTCCAAAGATAAATACCTTAAATCTTTCGGTAGGGGGTGGGGAGGTGGGTTAAAAACATGCGTCTTTCGCCTGAACCTCGCATACCACAATCAAAGCTAGTTAAAAAGACGAATATTTTTCTATATAAAAACTGGAAATGTTTGTTTCTGTTACAACAAAAGGTGTTGAAATATTTAACTATGTAAATTGAATTTTTTTTTTTAAACGGGTAATATGTTACAGTAATGAAAGACAAAGTTGGGTGGTGTAAAATTGCCCCGAATTGTCAAAATCTTTTTACGGTTGTGTGTTGTTGTTTTTTACGATTACATTGCTAAATGCAACCTCCAAACCCCGCAGTGATGTAGCCAGTGGTTGTTATTGATATGTAAGAATGTAGCCCACCTGCTTACAGGGTTAAGGAAGTAGCCGTGATATTATAATTCTCAGATTTTTTTTTAGTGGAGAGGGGAGTCAATGGGATAGGAGTGGTTATAACCCTCTCTATTCCCGCGTTGGGACGGAGTGGTCTAGCAGTAGAAAGAGTTGGACTGCTAACCCGTAAGTCTCGAGTTCGAATCCGGGTTCAATTCAGTAGATCGTCCCTGAGTCCACCCATCTCTGATTGGTACCTAACTCTCGTTAGGGAAAGTAAAGGCGGCTGGGCATAGTGCTGACCACACTATCTCTTCATATGCCGAGGTCACAGAAACAAGTAAACTCTACTTCACTTGCCCTTATAGACCATCAGGTTTGAAAAGGGAACTTTACTTATCCCGCGTTAGTCTTCGCTTACTTGCCGGGTTAAGAAAGTAACCCTGGTATTATAATATAATATTATTATATTATTATAGTGGAAGGGGGAAGGGTCCATGGGACAGGTTATAACCCTCTCTACTCCCCCGTTAGCATACTTCACAAATACTCCGTATACAATAAAGTAAAAAAAAACTTAAATATTTATCAGATAAAAAATCTGGAACAATTTTTCCTCGTTTTTACCCAGGTGACATCTTCATCGACAAGGCCATCCACAAGGCGGTCATTGACCTGCAGGAGACAGGGACGGTGGCGTCTGCCGCCACTGTCATCTCAATGACCAAGGGGATGATCATCCCCAGGGCCACATTCCTCGCTGACCACCCCTTCATGTTTTTCCTTCGCGACAACGTCACCGGGCAGCTTTTGTTCCAGGGGAAATTTTCAGGATAAACTCCTCTCCCCCTCCTCCCCTCGGGTTAATGTATTGAATAAATATGGCACCTGTTAATTTATTCGATATATATATATATATATTCCCCCGGATAGTTTTTGTAAAAATTAATTCAGGAATTCATTTCAAAATAAATATTTCCCAGGTAATTAATAGGGTGAATACATTCTGGAATAATTATTTGGATAAATAGGGCCTACTGCCATGGATAGTTTTTTGTATAAATAAATTCCGGAAAAATGTGTAGGATAAATATCCACAAAAAAATGTCAGAATATTATTCCCTGAAATTGTAATTGTTTTCAGGACATGTTGATGAGAAGTAAAATAGTGAAATTTCATTTTATTTGCGTATTGTTTTTTTTTCTTTCTTTTCAAAGTAAAAAAAAAAAAACTTTCCGTGGCAACATTTATTTATAAACCATCCACAACTGTTAACTACGACAGACATGCTGACTACGCATTGGCAGTGGCGTAGCGAGGTCGGGTGTCACCAGGTGCGGCACTTAATGGTGTCACCCCCCCCCCCCCCAGAGGTATAGAGACCCTTCCAAGGGCCAAACTTTCAAATTTTCGATTTGCACCCCCCCTCAAACTTTCGATTTGCACCCCCCCCCCCCCCCCTCCTCAAGTTTTCGATTTGCACCCCCCCTCAAACTTTCGATTAGCACCCCCCCCCTCAAGTTTTCGATTTGCACCCCCCCTCAAACTTTCGATTTGCACCCCCCCCCTCGAGTTTTTCTCTACATATTTTGCTATTTTTTGCCTTGGTGTCACCCCCTAAATGGTGTCACCCGGTGCGGTCCGCACCCCCCGCCCCCCGCCCCCCTCGCTACGCCCCTGCGCATTGGGACTCTCTTCTCAGTCCCCGGAATGCCGATAAGTTCACCCAGCTCTAAGTGGTACCTCATAACCTAACTCAAGTTAGAGAAAGTAAAGGCGGATGGGCATAGAGCTGACACAGGTGAACTCTACTTAACCTGAACCGTCAGGTTCGAAAAGGTACTTTACTTGAATGGTCCGACATATACCCTGCGCCGATGGTTGGCCTGAATATTCCTCGTAGCGCGTCTAATCTATGTACGATCCCATAGCAAAATTTAACTGTTCGGGAAAAACCGTACATAGCTGAGCGTTCAATTTCAGTGCGTACTAGTGCGCAGTACTATAACCGGAAGTGATGTCAACGGCCTGTTAACCTTAATGAATTTCGTTCTTTAAACAAGTAGCGGTTTATTAAACATCTTGAGCTGAGTAACGTTTGAAAGAAAGAATTACACCAGCATTCGGCGGGAGACGATAGCACCTTCCTCACGGTGACAGCTGTGGTGTAGATAAAGGACATCAGGAAGATCAGCCTCTCCGCAACAAGAAAGAAACAGTTGAGAAAGACCTTAGAAGTATGTGACTAACTTACAAAACCTTTTTTTTGGTGGGGCTATTTTTAGAAACATGCGGTTTCAACCTCTTGGTAGTGCTTATTTCGGCAAATGAGAGGGAAAGAGCGCAATGCGCTTAGATGCTCTCACATCCGGTTGATGCAGAGGCGAGGCGGGGAGGGGGTGCGGACCGCACCGGGTGACACCATTTAGGGGGGGGGGGGGTGACACCAAGACAATAAATATATAGATCTAGAAGTCAGTGTCAGTTCAATTAAAGATTAGATATAAAAAGTATTTTAAGTACAAATTAACGATCCCTAAAAGCTAGCCCCCCCCCCCCCCACCCAGTGACGTAAATTTACTAATTATAGAGAAAACAATGCTGTACTAATAACCGATTTTTTTATAAACATTGTTATTATTAACATTGCATTCATTAAAGCTATCTCTCTGGGAAGAGGGGGGGGGGGGGTGACACCAACTGCAAAATTTACACAGGAAATAAAAATTGAGATGAATATTTTCAATAAGTGATTAGTCAGTAAATAATTGAGTTGGGTTAACACCTAATAATTTACTGTGAAAACGGTGCTTTTTCCACTTGAATTATTGGTGGGTTAAAGTAATGTGCTCCGGCTAAATCAGAAGGGTTGTAACTTATTGCATCTATATAATTATATATATATATATAATTATATATATATATATATATATATATATATATATATATATATATATATATATATATATATATATATATATATATATATATATATATAGTTGAGAGGAAGTAAGAATGTGAGAGGATATAAGCACGTACCTACTGTTGGCGGATATACGCACTTTCCAAAAACTAAGAAAAATGTGTATGCCTATAAATAGAACCTACTTGAAGAATAGATCACCATAGATGGAAAATACGCATGTTGCTTATTTCCTATGGACTGGGTCAATAACTGAAGTTGTATAAAACTGACGTCTTGTGTGATTCATTAGGATTGCTGATCACTGCCTAAATAACCGCCTAACTGTCCTAAGCCAAGGAGTCAACGTATTTGTCGATTAGCCGTGCACACTAATTCATATTTGTGAAAGAGTTAGAGGGATATTGGATATTTGAAAATGATAATTCTAAATAATGTTTAGGGGTTGTCCATAAATGACGTCATATTGAGGGTGGGGCGTATTTTTGTGATGATTATTTGTGACGATGTGGATGGCGGATTTGAGAACATGATGTCATTTCTTCTATGTTAAAAGTAGATAAGAGAGTTTTCACGGGTAATCAAGGCTTTTAATAGTATATCTTTTTTTAAAGTTTCTCTTTGTTTTCTTATTTCTAGTTCATTAAAAAGTTGTTGTTTTTATTTATTAGTATTAAGTTTTTTAAATACTTTTTTTTTTAAATTTAAATGTTTGAAAACAGAAGGCTAAACAGAAAGAAAACATTTTTTCAGATTTTCATTACTTTTCAAGCAACATCAAAGAAAAGTATCCGCTACTTTCTAGTATATGACATCCTACAGTTGCATCTTTAAAACCCTTTAAGAAAACATGTCAAACATGGAGCAGAATCGTATGAGCCAGGTCAAGGTCAGCGCGAGCAAAACCCAAAACGGCCAGCGCCACCAGTCAAGTGCCTCTGAAGGGATGTGGCAAGCCTTATGTGAACCAGTATCAAGCATCCGTCCGGCACCAATGCACTGCCGTGTCAGAGATGCCGGAAGGGAATTCCTCCAGCATAACGAAACGTGCCAATGGATTCAACACATGGTGGAGGAAAACGTGAAGGTGGTGCCAGTGTTGGTCGATAATCGTCAAGCTAGTGCGGTTGTGGTGGCGGACGTCCCCGTTGTGAAGAGCTCCTGTGAGAATTTGCTGGAAGCGAGCAAGTCCCCCACCCATGAAGCGGCGATGCGCATGCTGGAAGAACAGAGGGAGGAGTTGATGGTGCAGCAGAAACAGCTGGACGAGAAGCTGCTCAAGCACGCTGAGGATAAGAAGTACGTTCAGGATCACGAGGCTTTGAAGCAGGCGGCACTGGCCGAGAAAGTGACGGAACGGAAGCAGCATCATGAACACGAGGGTTTGAAAATGGCGGAAGTGGCCCAGATGGAATGGATCAATAAGAGTATCCAGGTGACTCCCACCGTCAAGCTGACACAGTCGTACGCTCCCCCACTAGCTAACCGACGAAGACTTAAGGTATGTGTCAGCTATCCTCGGAGGTGCATGATCCTTAATCGTAGGACTAAGAACATGAGCCTTAATCGTAGGACTAAGAACGTCCGCAGGGCGAATAGAATTTTTTTTTTTCATGTGTTTCAACACGTCCCCTACTCCAAATCTGACCCTAACTCCAATCCTACATTAACAGATGTAGTGGTATTTCTAAATACCCGATTCTGTGATGCTCTGCTGGCGTTCTCGTAGAAACAACGTGCAGATTTTTGTGTGTCGAAAGTTGTTTATTAGAAAAAAAAATCACAGTACTATTCGCCTAAACACTCGAATTTCCTATCCAAGTTTACCATTCAGACTTACATTCTAGATCTAGATCTAGCTTAGGATCCTGTAAAATATTTGAATAATTTTTTTTTCCCTCTGAGAACCTGATTTGTTTTGAGAAACACAGAAAATATAGTTGCTAGCTTTTATAAAATATGTGAATTCGACTTATTTGGCAGTTTAAAATTTGTAAATCCACAGAAGCACGTTTTTTTTTTAAATAGGAAATGTGTGAGTAGGCTTAGTAGTAATAGTTTTTTAAATAAAGATCACCATAATTGAAACGCCGATTCTCTTGTGTGTTAGAGCAGAGGCGTAGCGACCCTTCCCGGCGCCCGGGACAAACTTTCGATTTGCACCCCCTCCCCTTAAACTTTCGATTTGCACCCCCCCCCCCCCCCTTAAACTTTCGATTTCCACCCCCCTTCAAGCTCTCAATTTATTTTCCCTTGGCGCCCCCTAAGGTCGGCGCCCTGGGACATATGTCCCCCCCCCCCCCCTCGCTACGCCTCTGTGTTAGAGTAGCATATTGTTTTCCCAGGGATCCCTTGCTCAAAGCTGTGCTCTGAGAGACGAGGGCACCCTCGGCAGTTTATTGTGGCAAACAAAATCTTCCTTTGACGAGTCTCAAGAGGCGGAGAGAGTCAGCGCAGAGTACAAACGAACAAACCGTGAGTAATTTCTGAGTCATAGGTTTCTCAACTTATTTATATGTGTGTAGATTTATGTATGTATGTATGCATGTATGTATGTATGTAAGTGTGTGTATGTATGTATGTGTGTATATATATATATATATATATATATATATATATATATATATATATATATATATATATAGTTTTCAGGTGTGATTTTTTTAAACTATATATATAAAATTCTCTCCTTGGATACCCTAGAAAACACCAAGCTGTAAGCGCGCCTAGCAGTCCCCTCTCTTCCTTTCTAGGCATATCCCCACCACCCCCCACCCCCACATGGTCTGGTGATCTGTGGTTGCCGCTAAAATGTTTACAATCGTAGAGCCGGGTTTAGTGGCGGCTATTAGGGGCAGATAATTTAGTTTGAATTTATTTTAAACTTAGGGGAGGTAACTAAGAGGAGGCTGCTTTCACGGGGGGGGGGGGGGGGGGGGGGGTAGGGTAAGGGTTGGGGGAAAGGAGGGTGTGGGTAGTATCGTCCTTAACGACCTACTGATAGTGTTTTAAAACAAATATTTTCAGTGTCGAATTCACAAATTATGAATTACTGAAAAGTAGAAAATAAAACAACTAAATAGCGGCATATGATACGCCGCGGGTCGGCTCGTATGAATGTAAAGTAACTAAAAATGGAAAAAAAAATGTAGTTTGTATTTTTTTCCAGCGTAATATGATTTATTTGAATGTCTTAAACCTCAGTTTTTAACGTTTACTCATGATCATGATCAGTAGCGAACTCATGATCATGATCAGTAGCGAACTCATGATCATGGTCAGTAGCGAAGCAAGGTGGTGCGATTAATGCAATCCGCACCAGGCATCAGTAGTGTAGCAAGGATGGTGCAGTTGGTGCAATGCGCACCAAGTATCAGTAGTGTAGTAAGGATGGTGCATTGCGCACCAAGCATCAGTAGTGTAGCAAGGATGGTGCAATCCACACCAGGTATCAGTAGTGTAGGAAAGGGCGTGGGGGTTCGGATGGTGACACCCGTTACCATACCCAGGGTGCCACTCTCTGCCAATGACCAGTGTTTCTTTCACTTACGAGAAGTGGGGGGGGGGGGGGACGACGTTGGTTAATTAATTCCTTATAATTTTTTTCCTATTCCGTTCTAGGGGTGAGGGAGGGTCATTGAGCAAATTGTATATTTTCTATGTATATTACTTTAACAAGTAATTCAACTAGAAAAAAAACTATTAAAAAAAACAAGACTTACTTCTAAGAATTTGCTATATATCGTTCAAGTTTCACCCCCCCCCCCCCCACTCCTCCTTAGACTGTCATCCTGTGCGGTCTTCCCCCCCCCCCCCCCCCCCAACCCCACCACTCGACTTGTGTCGCTATTGCCACCAGTCATATTCTGCCCTTTACTTACTAAAATTTTACATTATCCAACCAGACAGCCAGGTTCATGCCAACAAAGAGATAAGATCAAATTTAAGTATGTCAACGCTGACAGAAAATGCGAAGGATCATGACAGCCATTTGGCATATGATAGTTCAATTGTGCCCAGCTATTGCACCATCACCAACGACTACGATCGTTAAAAAATGAAACACCGATGAACAAGTTATCCAGATTTTTGTGTTTTGAAAGGCCAGACTTGGAATTTAAGAGCAACTGTTCCATTGTTTTGGCCTAATTACAAATATTTTTTTTTTAAATTAAAATTACATTTAAAAAAGAAGCTAATGTAAGTCATTGCCAGATACAAGGTTTTTGTTGTATTCATTTTCAAAATGAAATCCAAATTAGAGTAAACTTGTAAATCAATAATGATTATTAGAAAGGTTGAGATTTATGAAGATGAAAGGGAATGTTAAATTTTTTTAAAGAAAAAAAAGATTTTATACAAACATCATACAATGAAAGCTCTTATTTATGAATACATAAATTATTAATGATCTTTTCGTTTAAAAATATTAAAATAATGTATCCTTTCTTAGGCTCTATGTTCTTGTATAAAATCTTAAAGTTTAACTTCTTCTTTACAAAAAAAGTGTTATAGCTATCATTTATCTAAAAGTTTAATTTCTTCTTTACAAAAAAATGTTATAGCTATCATTTAAAAGTTTAATCTCTTCTTTACAAAAATAAAAGACTGTTGTAGCTATCTTTTTTTTTTACATTGTAATTAAGAACTACCTAAGAATGTAAACAGTACTCTCTGAGTAGAGGTACATAAGATGAATATATTAAAACCAACAATAACATTTATTTATTGTTTGTTGGTTTTTTTTTTTTTTGTTTTTTTTTTTGGTCCCATCTGACTTCAAATCTGTTAATAAACCTGTGCTGTTTAAAAATAAATCTGTCCACTCATCAAGACGTTATTTCTCACAAATACCTCAAACCATGAGATCAACAACATCTGCCAAATAATCCCACAAAAAAAAAATTCAGACAAAAGAAGAATTTATTACCATTCTAGAGAACCACACTTTCAAGTGTGTAAGTCATTTTCTAACAATGAAAGTGATGAAAAAATGTTTAATGCAAGTTTGTTTAAATGAAACAATATTATTTGAACAATGATTCTTATTTACATATATATTTCAAAATTAAACAACTCAAGTTTCTTTTAATGGTCTTAGATATTCAGTTGACATAGCGTTACATAAGAATTATCTATTTTTATAAAGTGCCCACAAACTCTAGTCAATCTAGCATGTGATGTAACCCAAACCTTTACTTCATCCAATAGCTCTAACACTATTTTGATTTCTTAAAACCAAACCATTACATTCTACAATAATGTGTACAATACATGTAACTATCCCTTAGCTCACAGTCCATAATTGTACACTGATGCAAAACCAACACTAGCTACCGCAAGAAAAGTTAAGTATGTCCCATTATGTCCATACACATTTAATAAAACAACACTCAGAGTCAGTTACTATGCATTAATGTCTGTAGAAAACAATAAAATGGTCTCTGATCATCCCACCCTCCTGCACAGGAATAAATTTTGCAAACATTTTCTTTTTTAATTCATTATGTTTGTACTAGCATCACTCATCTTGTCAAAAACTATTATTAGACTGACTTACGCAAGGGATAGATGATTCATTATAATTATCAATCCCATTTTAAATATAAGACAACGTAAAAAACAATATTAGACTAACAAGTGATAGGACTATTCAGTATAATTTCTTATCACTCACAATCAAGATATCAAGACAACCTCAAAAACACATCTCTTTTGTTAACTGAAATTATCTATAGTTTATTTATGCTAAAATGAAACAGCCCCTTCATATTGAAAACAACACAAACATTATAGTAATTGATTTTTTTATGTTTATCTAAAATATTTGTCTTTGAACTGCTAATGGTTAAAGTGAATTGATAGTAAGAAAAAATAGTACAGGGCAACACAGCTGAGATTCTATCAAACAAAACAGTTTAAAAATATTTCATTGTCAAGTTTAATATCAGATGAGGCTGAGACACTGGTTGTAAATTCAACTTTTGGCATGGGGAACTAATAGTTCGGTCTTAAATATTTCATTGTCCAGTTTAATATCTGTTAAGGATTCACTGCATGGTTGACTACCTGCTCGTCGTAATATATTTTTTAAACAAAATAGTTAACAATATAAACTCACATGTACATTTACAGTTGCCTGTGTACACATTACGTAAATGGCATATTAAAAAATGTAAATTAATTTAAACAAAAATTAGTTCTATCAAGATATAATATCACTTGTATTGGTCATAGTTTTAAAATAGTTCCTGACATAAATCAATAATATGCACATTAAAATAACACATTTTACATGAAGACAGGCCTATACATAGCTATAGTCATTGAAAATGTAGAACCATGCTCAAGGGAAAAAGATCACAATAAAGTTTAAGTATTGTTAAAAGAACAGTTATCTACAAGTCACAGGAGAGATTGTAAAATGAAACTAGCTACAATAACAGTCTATCTAAATACAAGGGAGCTCAAGAGTGGCTATGATAACATTCATGTAATAAAACCTAATGATTAGATAAATAAGAGAAGCACCAAGGTCTTGTTAACAGAAAACATGCAGGCGCCATTGGTTACAGCCAAGATATCTATGGCCAGCTGACAACATTGCGGTGATATACATTTTGAAATATATTTTTTATACATAGATCTACACGCTGATCTAATTAAATGATTCTCTTTCTTTTTTTAAAAAAATTCTGATAGAAAATTAGTGATCATGATATTTCTTAACTATCGTTTTCATTTTTATTCACAATTAGGAAATTTAAAACCTAAATTGCTAAATTTCATAAAACTATCCTTACTGGGCTTAAGATTGTAATCACAGCAAAACATCCCAAAGTCAACTTTTATTTACAACAGATGTATTGAGTGTAAATTTGGTGTGAATGGTCCAACTAAGCACCATAATGTACATAGAAAAATCTAGTCTCTCAGTGAGAAGCAAGGTAAATTTTAAAATTAAATACAACAAAAATGACAATATGTGAACATGAAAATTTGAAAGCACACAATCAGTGCTTGTACACAGTACAACTTGAATATAAATAAATATAATGCATATAAATAATGAAGACTATTTACATATATAAGACTATTAAACTATCACCGCCCCAGTTCCATACATTTTGTGGCAACATGATTTAAGCAGACTCCCAAATACATAGCTGTTTTAAACTATCTGTCTTCATCCACTATCTTCATTCTTATCATATAATTAAATCATTCATCTTATATACTAAATTGTCTTTCACCTAATACATTCTGTACAATTTCAGTATAATAGCAACATATTCTACAAATAATTTTACTTAACGAACAAAACACGTTAAAAACACACAAAAAAAAACAGTAGTAGTTTTGCAATACAAATGTTCAAATACGATATGGTCAATTAAAAAAAATATTATCATCATGTTTTCACTTTGCTTGATAGATGTTTAACAAAGTTTAATGTGAATACACATTTCTGTCAGCAGTGAATGCTTACATATCTGCTAAAAATACACCACTAAAACTCATTCACTGGCATATGTGATAACCTTATTATTTGACTAGAAGATAGTATCATTGCAAAACTTTGCACAGTTTTTTTCCAATCCAGAATAAAAAAAAAAGATATGATGGGAACTATCTCAAAAACAGCAGAGGCGGTCTAAGCTAGACCCAGAAATATTTTTTCTCACTAAAATCTACATTAACCAACAATTTAATTGATTCATTAAAAAGCTTCAGGGTGTGGTAAATGTGTTCATCTCAGTCATCTGTCAAGTACTAGCTTATTCAAGTGTTAACATCTAAATTTGTACAGCCATTGCTTATTTCCTCAATGAAGAAAGAAATACTTAACACAACATTTAAACAATCATCCAAATATGCAGTCAAACCAAAATATTCAAAAATTCCTTGATTACAATGATTATAATAGTAAACTGTCATCTGAAAAATAAATATAATAAATTATATAATTAAAATGTTAAAAAATGGACAAGAATAGAAATTCAAAAAGCTGATTTTTTTTAATAAAAGTTAGTACAATCAACACCAGTGGTGAACAAAACTTTCTGTTGTCACTAAATGACACATATTAAAATATCAACATGGTTTTCAGTTTCAAACACATACAATACACTAAAGTAAAATTGAAAATTAAGGACACAAGAAAATTTTTGTTCGAAGTTAAGTCAAGTACCTATACATAAAAACACTTTCTTTATAACATTAAAAAAAATCTACCATTTCTTTGGGTGATAAGTAGCAAATTTAAAAAAAACTACTAGTGAAAAGCTTTGAAGAAAAGGTAAAACTAAAGCATAAGCTAATTTAACAATACTTTAACTACTAATTGACATGCATAGATTGTTTTATATAGAGTTAATAGCTTTTTACTCCATCATTTTTCACTGTAGGAACTGAGTAGCAAATAAAATAACCTCACAGCCTAATTAAATAGAAACACAAACATATCACAGCCAGTAATTGTTTCTTTACTTCTGACTTTTTTAAGTACTCGTTTTTCCAATAGATTTTACCTATAAAATAAAATGGGACACATAAAAAAAGCAAATAACTTAGGTGCTGGAAATATTTCCAATGATCAAAACCTAAATACTGCACTAAATTGATTACCCTGGTGTCCATAGTAGCTACTGCCTTACAAATCATAAGAAACTGCAAACATAAATATTTAGTGAACACAAGTGCAGGGTCTTAGCTTGTCTACAGCAATATCAACAAATATTTACACGCAACAACAATGAACACTTCAATAACAAACTTAAAGCTGGAGTCAGGGAAGCAGGTTCAAGTAGTTAAAGCTTCAATAGTTTGAGCTAGTTCTATAATTCTTCACCTAGCGATGTATCTTTGTTTACCTTGCAACAGTCACATTTTTAATAACAATTTAACTTATCTTGTTTTCATGACAAACAACACCAGTTTATTGTATATACCTTATAAGTAAAACAAACAAATATCAGTAACAGATGTTAATTCCAATGTCACTGATTGGCTTAATAATTAAAACATTTTAAAATGTACAAAAACCTTTAGGATCTAAACATCCAACAATCAACCAATAAAATATTGGAGTAGATATAAGTGAAAAACAAATTTAACATGAGCTAACATATTTAAAACCAAAATTATGGGTGATTCAATTTCAAAATGACTGCATTATAAGACTAAAATAACATTACCACATTTTTAAAAGTTCAGAGAACTATATTTCATATAGGGCACAATCATGAAAAACAATATATAATAGTTAAGTAGTACATTTAATGCCTTACTTGACAATAATACCTTATTTTAATATTGATACATTTTAATCACTGAAACTAAAATGACTTAATCAAATTTCATAACTTATAGAAAATTTAGCTACAATTTAATTGATTTTAATCACTGAAACAAAAATAGTTTAAAACTAATATTTGAAAGCTTATAGCCAGTAGTAGACAAACTGTTCAGCAGACTAGCCCTAGCTGACTTTATATTTCCCTACAGAATCATATTCAGATTGTATTGGACTGCCAAAAAATCAAGTCATATAGAAAAATTAATAGTAACAATTGTAAAAGTTTACATATCATTCATAAAATCAATAGCTTCTACCAAAATTTTTGTTAATGAAATTTTTAAAATATAAATTTTGTAACAATCAAAAAGTAAAATATAAAAAACAAATTAATATTTACTAACAGTTGACTATAACAATTGTTTTTTAAATATGTAAATTTTCAGTGCAAATTAAGTGACTAGTTACTCTGACTTGCTGATCATTTAAAAAAAAAAAATTTCAATACTGTAGTTTTGAGCATGGATTTGTGCGTGCATAATATAAAATAAAAACAAACATTATAATAACAGTGTAGAACTAAACTAAAAGTATGTTAACATTTAACACTGATAGCAGCTGTACAGCATTATTAAAGTGTCTTAACATCATGACATTTGTCTCAAACACCCAACAATACTTTAATACTAAAAAGTTTCCTAATTCAAATCATGCTATGACTGATGTAAACAAGTTAAAAAGAAAACAGTAAAACCAAAGTTGTTTAAAGTCTGTTATAAATATGTATCTTTAAATACTAAAACTATTACATTAGTGCAACTAATGTTAAGAAAAACTTACATAGAAATATTATGTACAAATCTATATAAGATTACTTATAATACTAACCAAATATTTGTTGTGATGAATAACAGTAATGGAAACTTTAATGGTGAATTAGTGTTAGGATAACGATTATGTATATAATTGTATCATTTTAAGTTTATAAATTGGTATCTACAATGCAATTTGAGTCACAGCGTAACCCTAAGACATGCAGTATAAAGAACAATGAGCAATGTCATAAGACAAAACATGGAATAAAACATTCTTTGAAAACAAACGTTTACACTATTCATTGTTTGATAAAATACTATACAAAAACATGTAACGGTCTTGAGCTGATTACAAAAGTTGTATGATTGAAATAACAAGCTACCAGCACTGTAGAAGGTTGTTCAGCAAGTGGAGGTGATGGATGGTACAGCAGTGTTACTTGGTGTTGGAGTCTGTCATCCCATGCAGCAAGCTGTAGAATATGCTCATCTCGTCTGATGCTAGCTCACTCGGGGAGTCAAATTCTTTCAGCTCCCCGTATTCTAGCACCATGACTTTGTCGTAGTTCATTATAGTGGAGAGCCGGTGCTGTAAGAAATGGTTGGGGTGTAAGACTGAAGTTATTGCATGGAGGCTTACACAAGTCAAGGAAACAAGATAGTGACATCTGTTGGGGTGTAAGACTGGAGTAGTTGTATGGAGGCTTATACAAGCCAAGTCAAGGAAACAAGATAGTGACATTTGTTGTACAGTATTTGTTTGGCTGGTTTCTTGCAGTCAGATTTTTCAAAATTTTTGGCTCAAAATTTTGTTTGCATCTACCTGTTTCTGCTGGAATGTCAGAGTGTCTGTATGAGTGTCCCAGTAGGGGTGGGTGGGTGGGTGGGGGGGCCTGGTCTACTGACCACACAATTCTTTCCTTTTACAAGGTAAGATAACAAAAGCAGATAAACTGTGCTTCATTTGCCATATGTACAAATAGATCAAACAGCAAAGATCAGCAACATGAGGGATATGGCTACAAACAATACAGTCACATTCTTCTCATGTCCAATTGGAAGTTGAATAGCGTAGTTGTTTTGTCATAGATAAACTCTACTTCTTCTACCTTATGGGCAACCAGGGTAATGTATTTTGTCAAAAGACTTATTTACAGCATAAATTTGTATTAACAAGGTTAGAGGTTGAATCTCTTAGAGCAAAGACAACATAAATCTAAATTGAAACATAATTTTCAGGTGTGTGTTATGTGAATAAAAACCAAACTTACAGCAATAGTTATTACTGTTTTCTGCTGCTGTATTGCTTGATGAATAATACTCTGGATTTTGGCATCTGTGTCTAAGTCAATGGACGCTGTAGCTTCATCCATTATTATTATCTTGGAGTCTCGCAAAAATGCACGAGCCATGCACATTAGCTGTAGACACATTAAAAATATTTAGCACAGCACTAAGATTTTTACAATGTTGATACAACATTCCTCCCTTAACCCACTGTGATGAAATTAAATTTTAAAGATGTTGAAATAAAGCTAAAATTCTTAGAACACCATTTCTTCTACCCAAGTTCCCATTTAAAAGAATCATGTAATATTAACTATTTGTTATTAAACAATAAAATAAATATATTTGCTTTACCTGCCTTTGACCTACACTAAAGTTATCCCCTCCTTCGACAACTTCTGATTCTGTTGGATGAGAAAATTTTGGTCAAAATTTAGTAAAATCAATAATAATAAACATTAAATGAAATTTTGTATGAAACATGGAAAATATGGAGTAAGTTTGTTTGGAACATGTAGAAATTACTTAGAAGTGAATAAATATACAAACATTCTAAAAGCAGGTGTGTTAATAGTTATTGTAAAGTAAGTACAGTAGTAAGTAAAATTCCCTTTCAAACGTGATGGTTCATGGGCAAGTGAAGTAGAGTTCACTTGTGTCCATGACTTCAGCATTTGAAGGGATTATTTGGTCAGCACTTTGCTCAGCCACCTTTATTTTAACTAAAGTCAGGTACTCATCAAATCTAGGTGCACAAATTTAAGCCCGAGACTTATGAGTTAGCAGTCGCATGTTCTACCACTCTATCACATCATCCCATAATTGCTGTTATTGACCACAAGAAATATTTTAGTATAGATCTGCATCTAGACTCAACGTCAGTCAGACAAACCAGATCAGATTCGTAACCTACTAGTCCAATTCAGGTTTGAAATATTTTGACCCAGATTTGCTGACCCGTGTCCAACCCATTTTGTCAACAACTATAAGTAGGCATAGAAAACTAAAAATGTTCTCAATTGTTATAATTTAAAACTAAAGTTAGCCTTTTTGTGCCTAGCACAGTGGTGCAAGAAAAAAACATTTATATTGTGTCTGATTTGGTATTCATGTTTGATGGAAATTTATGCAACCAAATATGTGAAAGAGGGAAGAGAATGTAAATAAGCCAATTGTACAAAACTGGGCCAGAGAAAATCTGAAATATACTAAGTACATAACAGGTTTGTAAGGGTTAAAGTATGCTTTAACATGAAATTTAAATAAAAGAAACACATGTTCAAATGAAAAAAATTATCATTAAATGTGTAAGATTTCTTGAAGAATTTCAGTACACCTGTACTACAGATTGTAAAAGAAATAATTTACCCAGCTGCTCAGGTAAGGCTGTGACCACATCTTTCATCTGCACAGCTTCTAAGGCTGACCACAGTCTCTCATCAGACCTTGTATTGTTTGGGTCAAGGTTAAACCTGAAAAATGTACATGGTATAACTTAGTCACAAGGGCAAAGTGTATGGCCCAGAGGGTTTACACAAAGTTTTGGGGAAATACATCATCACATCCCGCACACTGCTTGTTGAAAGAGTCAAGTAAAGTTAGTGAACTTTCACTAGCAAGAGACAACTTTGTTTTCTATAATATATGAAATTTGTATCAACAAAATAGGCATTCATGTTAAGTGAAGCCTACCTCACTGTCCCTGTAAACAGCACTGGGTCCTGAGGAATGATTGCCAGTCTTGACCTCAGTGTGACCAGGTCGACCCTTGTGATGTCAAGGCCATCTATTAGAATAGTGCCTTCGTTTATTTCCAGGAGACGAAACAGGGCCAGAATCATGGAGGATTTACCACTACCTGTCCTGCCACAAATGCCAACCTGATGAGGAGGGAAACATTGTTTAGTTCTTTTATAACTTTAAACATAAAAGCAGTGAGTTCTAAAGAATGTTTATTTCACTATTTGATAGCTATAATTATCATTTTAGAAAATTCTTATAAGTATTCAATTCCTAACTGCAATATTTATTTTCCAATTATAAATAATGCTTGAATCATCATGTCTTTTTAATTTTTACAACGTATCTTCAGAACTATAAGCTACTTTTTTAAAAAAGCTATTGAAATTTTAAAAAGTGAGAATCTTATAAAAAAACAAGTAATTTTTAAATGCAAAGTGACCTAAAGCTTAACTAAGTATTAACATACATTAGTATCAATCAATTTAAGAGAGGTACTAAATTTAGGATAACAAATGCTGTGTGAGACTTAAGGAAAATTGAAGTAAAAAATGAAATAAAACTGACCTTCTGACCACCTTCTATTACAAAAGATACTGTGTGAAGGACAGGCTCTGAATCTAATGAATAGCTCAGTGTAACATCTTTAAACTCTATCTTGCCAGCATTGGGCCAAGACTCAGGAACTGATACAGCACCTACATTCAAAGACAAGAATAAATGTTTAGTTCAGTATCAAATACCTTTGTGGGACAGTATGGACAAGCCTGAGTTAGATTCTTAGCCCAGTCTAAAGGACAGATTGATAAATTCACTTTCCCTTTTTCTAGTATTGAATGCATGGTGTAGTGGTAGACTGCTAACCCAAAAGTCTCAAGTTCAAATCTGGGTTCAAGTCAGTAGAATGTCCTTGAGTCCACCCAGCTCTGATGAATACTGAACTCACTTTAGTGGAAGTAAAGGCGGCTGGGCATAGTGCAGACCAAACTAACCCTTCATTTGCCGTGGTCACAGAAACAGGTGAACTCAACTACACTTGCCACATAAGCTTTTAGGCTTAAAAAGGGAACTTTACGTCAAGCTCTACATTCAACTGAGTAGACTTGAATGAAAATACAGCAGTAGCGGAAAAGATACAAATGCTCAAAAACTAAAACCAGCTAACCCCCAACCTAATAACTTAAGCAAGGTACTCACATGTGATGATTACACTTTTCCTATTATATGTTCCCATTAGCATTTAAAACATACAATACCTCAACTGAATAAAACCAGCAGTTTAAAAACTTTTAGTTAAGTAAACAAAAAAAATGGCTGACCTTCAGATGCTACCCCTGCTTCCACCTGAGAATCTGTATATTCTAGAACCCTCTCAACGGCATTCATACCCATCTCCACCTCAGCAGATATACGCACAATCCAGTTTAGTTGACCTGATACCTGAATAAACATTCCACAAAAAGTATTGATTTGAGTAGTACTCTAATTTATTTTTACTAGTACAACTAATTTAATACCAAATTTCATGAAACCATTTTACAAGTAAATGTTTTTTTAATGATGTAGTAAAAATGTTGAAAAGATTATAGTCTTAAATACTGTTCTACAAAAAGATGAAAAGAAATGCATTTGTTTCTGAAATTGTCTGATGGAAGCAGAATATGTCATTGTTATGGTTGGATGATGAGAATAGGTAAAAATATCATGCTATCACTTTTGGAAGATTACAAAGGTTTATTATTTCTTATGTTTGTTTCCTAAAGTTTTAATTTCCCTTCCATTAACACTTTCAACTTTATACAAACAATAATAAAACAGCTATTCTAATGAAGATGTTGAGAAATGGCAATTTTTTTACTACAAAACAAAAAAGTATTATAGGAATTAAAAAATCAACAGAATAGTTACATAACTTTGTTTAATAAGCTTCTGTATTTAACAGTTAAAAAAGGATTTACCATGAGAGCATATGTAATACATAGACCAATGAATGCTGGGTTAGACATTCCATGCAGACCTGAACTCAGGCTAGCAAGGGTTGATATAAAAACTAGAAGGCAACTCATAAAATCCTGAAACAATAAACAACATATGAATACAATTTTAAGAAAGAAACCAAATTAATTAGATCATAAAAATGAAAAATTTTACCCAGACACACATCAAGTATATTGTTTGATTATACCTCATGATATTAAAAATATTTTAAGTTCTCTAAAATATATTTTCATTGACGCAGATACTTTAAAGTTGAATAACTTTTTTGTTTTAACATCTAACAAAATTGCAGTAACAAATTATATTTTGATCAAGAGATAAATGACTTACTAAACGAATACCAAGCCACCTATTAGTTGTGTGAATGAACATAAATGGAGTAACATTTGTATCAATGGCTTTAAAAGCTCTCCTCTTGAAATCTGTCTGTACACTGAAATACACAACAGCAATAAGCTAATCAACAGGGAATTAACTATATTATGACTTTTTAAAAAAATTCAAAACAAAATATACATTGGAATACATTGATATTGCTTTTAATGTTTGATATGCAACTTGTAAGGATATTGATAGGAAGTACTGAAGCTGAGTTTGGTTTTATTAATATTGCTACCTTGAACATGATCCTAATCCTCCCATTACCGATCAGACATAATCATAATCATGGCCTCAAACCTCGCATTACCTCGCTTTACCTACAGCCATAACCATAGTCATAACCCATAGTCTTGACCATAGCCTTAAAAACCTAATCCTAACAGTCATAGAGGCAAAACAAAATCAGTTCAAACATGAATTTCCATACCACCAATTTTACAAGAGAATCAATTTTAAATCAAACAGTTTGTAGCTTTTGAAAGAAACGTATCTTACCCAAAAGCTCTTATTACTGCAAGTCCTCCTAGAGTCTCAGAGAAGTGAGAGAATATTGGGGACTTGGTAACACTGTCCAGCCGCTGGAGCTCTCTAAAAATGAAATCAAATTTGCTTTTTAGTAGTTAACTATTTAACTTCATCAATTAATCAAATTAATGGATGATGTATTTAATTCATACAAAATCTGCAACAATATAGTTGAATTTAAAATATGATGAAAGAACAATACAAATTCATGATGGAAGGGGTAAGACAACAAATTTTTAATGAATGAATTTAAAAAATGGATATTATGATGAAAGAATAATACGTGTGACATTTCAATAAAAGCTTAAAGAAAACAACACACTTGGAAAATAATACTTGCAATGAAAATCTTTTTTCATAACTTCTGAGTTTACATTTTGTGTCAAAAATTGCATTGAAAATCTTTTTTCATATTTTTAAGTCAATCAGAAATAGCTTTTTCTCCTTACCTTGCTGTGGAGCGGAAAAACCTCTGCAAACAGTAGTATATGATGAAAAAGGGCACAGCAGCAAACAGGAAGTAGGGAGATGTGATGGCATTGACCACAATGGCTGAGATGGTGAAAAAAACACAGCGGATCAAGTTCTCTATGTTACCTCCAAGTCTCTGGGAAAAGAAATATTTATATTAAAACTACCAGCACTCTATATTTTTTTATGATTAGCATTTTTTATACAGTCTCATAATTTGTCTTAACCCTTATGTATACAAATTAAGAAATTATAAAATTCAGATTATTAAACTAATTTTAGCCAGTTTAGATCTAAATGAAATGTCTTACCTGATCCACTGCAATAACATCAGCAGAAAATCTGTTAATCACTCGACCACTTGGGTTTGTGTCAAAAAATCTAAAATATATATACATATTTTTAATGAAATTGATTTAATTGATGATAATTACTTCTGCTTGAGTTAAATCAAGTTGGCAAAGTAAGATAAAAATAAAGTAAAGTGTCCTTTTAAACCTGACCATAAAAAGATGAATTCCTTGATCACTGATGCTGTACAAAGCATAAATGCTTATTTTTACCCACTTTACTCAAATATCAGGCAGAGTTGGGTGAACTCATACTTTATAGGTACAAATCATGTAAAAAAAAGTAGTTTCCTTTTTGAACTTAACGGTCCTTGGGGCAAGTAGAGTTCAACTATTTCTGTTACCTTGGTATATGAAGGGATAGTATGGTCAGCACTATGCCCAACCGCCTTTATTTTTCCCTAACGAAAGTTAGGTACTCATTAGAGCTGGGTGGAACTCATCGACGTTCTAGTGAATTGAACCTGGATTCGAACTCAACACTTTCGGCTTAGCAGTCCAGCGCCACACCATTGCATACAAACCATTAATTAATCTCAAAACTATTGGCACCGAAGAACTATATAAAAACAATATCATTTTTGATTACTTGTTTTTAAAAGTGACTAATTAAAAAACTTATAAGTTATATTTTTCATAACAATAACCTACTGAGCAGCATTTAAAGAGCAAGCATAATTTTCAAGTGTATTCTAACAAGAGAAAGTTTAGCTACCTCATAGGGAAGTGGATGGCAGTGACAAGCATGTTGACAAAGAGGTTCTTGGAGCCTACATATCCAGTGTGATAAATAACCAGGCAGCCAATCAATGTGGCCAGCACAGATCCAATGGACAGGTAAATGTATGTCATTAGATAAGGTGAGTTGTCAAACTAGAGAGGAAAATAAATTGTTCAAAGGTTAGCATCCATTGTTTATATGAAGAAATTTTTTTTAGAACATAACAAAAAATTATCAATATTAATACACATATTATATTTATTTTCTTATAACAATGATCAGAGTTGAGTAGCAAGTATTAAAATGTATGGGCTTACAGTAAATAAAAAATAAATATTTAAATTGTTGTACCTCAGTGTGCAGCGTGACATTGCCAGATGTAAGCATCATGCGGGAAACATTTCTAGCATAAACACTCGAGTCACTGGCCCACACTGACAGCCAGAAGTTGGAGGTCACAATCAACGAATGGTAGGCCAGCTACAAAAAAATTAATTTTATTACAATCAACAAATGGTAGGCCAGCTACAAAAAAAAAATATCTTATTACAATCAACGAATGGTAGGCCAGCTACAAAAAAAAATTATCTTATTACAATCAACGAATGGTAGGCCAGCTACAAAAAAAAATTATCTTATTACAATCAACGAATGGTAGGCCAGCTACAAAAAAAAATTATCTTATTACAATCAACGAATGGTAGGCCAGCTACAAAAAAAAATTATCTTATTACAATCAACGAATGGTAGGCCAGCTACAAAAAAAAATTATCTTATTACAATCAACGAATGGTAGGCCAGCTACAAAAAAAAATTATCTTATTACAATCAACGAATGGTAGGCCAGCTACAAAAAAAAATTATCTTATTACAATCAACGAATGGTAGGCCAGCTACAAAAAAAAATTATCTTATTACAATCAACGAATGGTAGGCCAGCTACAAAAAAAAATTATCTTATTACAATCAACGAATGGTAGGCCAGCTACAAAAAAAAATTATCTTATTACAATCAACGAATGGTAGGCCAGCTACAAAAAAAAATTATCTTATTACAATCAACGAATGGTAGGCCAGCTACAAAAAAAATTATCTTATTACAATCAACGAATGGTAGGCCAGCTATAAAAAAAATTATCTAATTACAACATTGTTATGATCTCTTCAACACTGCAAAAATAGATAGGCCTTCAATTTAGACAACTATAAAATATAGTAGGCCAGCTGGAAGACAGAGCCTATAGGGGTGATAAGTAGGTCACCAACCAGTTCTACGGCTCAATAAAACCTGCATGAGCCATAGAACTGTTTATTGACCTACTTACCAGCCCTATAGAGACAGAATCAGTGGCGCCACAAAAGGTGGGGTAAGGGAAGTGTGGTATGCACTGGGTGACACCATTTAGGAGGTGAAACCATGAAAAAAAATCCTAACACTTACTGTCATGTTTTATCTAGATAAAATTTTTTAAAAGGGGGAAAGAGGTGACACAATTTTTAGAGGGGGATGGGATGACAGACAGCGATGATGATGATAAAACATCAATCTAGTGTTAACGTGCAGTGAAGAAAACAACAAAACACAGGTTGACTTGTTCCAGCACAAGCAGGTACTTACTTGCAGAAGGACTGAGACGAGGCACATGAACACCGAGCAGGACTGGAAGTAACGGAGGTAGACCCACATGTTCACAGCACCAGTCTCCCTGAACTCCTGCTTGATCAGCTTCCCTTTCTCTTCTATCTGCTCAGCTGCAAGCATACAGGTTACACTCAGTGCATAAGAACTTTCATATTTGCTTGGTCATTGTTGTCAGCAGTATGAGAATTGTCATTTTTAGACAAATTGGAGCAGCTAAATTAGATTTCACCTGGTAATGTGACTTAAGCTTACATAGAGATTGTGTGGTCAGCCACCTTTACTCTCTCAACTTCAGTCGGACAGATTCAGACAAACTCAAGCCCAAAACCAAACGTGGGGCATTTCATTAAGTAATTGTGCACTCTACCTTTTACCCATGTCATTGACTGCTGTAATGTCAACGTGCTAATCTATAGTTACATGCAGCTTTACTTCAACATATTTAAGTAGAGTTGGTGGAAAATCTTCAAACACCATTTCCCAGCCGAGTTATATTTAGTTTAGTCAATGTATGTGTGACTGATTTCTTAAAGAAGATTTGAAATGTAAGCTATTTTATAAAACATAATTTTTTTTAAAGAAGCCATGTTCACACAAGAAAATGTACCTGATGCTCTGTTAACACAGGTATAGTTGGATGTGGCTAAACCTACCTGATGCCCTGTTAGCTCCAATGTCATCATCATCATCATGTGGGCTTATGTCACCTGCATCTTCATTGCTGGCTTCAGTCATGACAGACATAGCTGACATTTTACGACCAGAAGGAAAGCCCCCAGCTAGACCAGGAACACTAAGTTGGGACTGTTGGACAAAAAGTTTACTTTTAAAAGGAATGGAACTTTTTTTTAATCTTGTTTTTTATTTAACTTGTTTATTCATATTGTTTTAAAAATAAACGAAGTATAAGTAGTTTTGTACTATTTATTTCCTTGTGAAATAGTGTAAATAATTATATATAACTTCATTAAGAAATCTTGATTTAAAAAATGAGAGCTTTTTGCACCTATTAAATGATTACTTATGAAGTAATTATGTTTGTGATAATTGAATTAATAATTTTATTATAAAAAATTATCATAAATATGAAAAAATAGCTATTGTAGTAAATTGAAGACAAACTCAGTAAAAAGGAAACAAATGTTTAGCTTTAAATATAATGAAGATCAAATAATAAATTGTTTCCAAACACAAATAATTAAAAGTTAATTTTCAAAATTTGAAGAAAAAAAACATCAATCCATTGTGAGTGTTAAAAACATCTCAAAATTCATCAACAAAATGCAGGAAAAAACTGGAGGAAATCAAGGGGAAAATCTTTCAATTCGATTACATTACATTTAACAAGTGTAAGCATTCTGTGCTTGACAGGACGGTGTAGAGCAATGTTGGTGAAGTTTTATAAAATCTGAAAGGTATGTTGATCAAGAAAACAATGGTCAGACTGCCATGTGCATACTTACATTACGTCTAAGTGACTATGGATAAAGAGGACACAACTTAAAGCGGATACAATTTGTATGCCTTTCATTTGAGAGACTTAGAAAACAAAAATGTCTTGAAAAATTTATTATAGATATAAGAAAGTATAGTGTATTTTGGAAGCAAGATTTATAAAAAAAAATGTAAACTTACAAACTATTTTATATACCCTGAAATGTTTTATATTTAATTTGTAAAAAAAACTATAACATCTTTGTTTTCTCATTTTTAGTCAAAGTAACCTACAAAATTGAAAAATGGCTATGTTCTTAATAGGAACAATTACTTTTTAGCAAGTTTTCAAGTTAAACAAAGTTACAGGTTTTACAGTTTGCCGCATTAAACTTCTTTATGCTTCTTTCACACCAGTATGTTAAATACTAAAAGCAACAACATGTAACAGTTTTTACTATACTGATAGTAATATAGTTTTTATATGTTTGAAGAATGAATTTTAAAAGAATAATCATTAACATGTTTAATTACAATATTTAAGGTCCAAAAATGTTGAGTAGTATAACCTAGAATATGGACTGAGACCTTTAAATATGTAAGGATTTTCAGAAATCATTTAAAATTTAAAACTGTAATCTTTACAACCAGTAGTTCAAATTTTAAAATCTATCAATGAAAGATTTTTTAAATAAAAGAAATTAAAATCTGACTTTGCTTGAGAGTTTAAACAAAAATGTCAGCAACTGCTTCAAGCTGATGAAAAGAGACTGGATATCGTTGTATTAAAAGTAGCCAAAGCCAGAAAAGTTAAAGCAGACGTCTGCTGGTGTGACACAGGGAAGCAGACCAGCTGTGTTGTACAATAAGCCACGGACATGCAGTAGAGAAGGATGACCCACCTGTGAAGAAGAAGGGCGCGGTACTGTTTCATGACTAACCTGACTCCCTCCACTGTGTTTTCTCTCCAAGTGCAACAAATCTCCTCCTTCAAATTTTTGACTGGAACAAAACAACTTAAATTTAGTGCTTCAGACATTTATATCATAGAAAAAGCTAAATACTGCAAGTAAATTAATAACAGATGTTTTGAATTCTTAATTAAAAAGTGGGATATGAAAACCTAAATATATTGTTCTGAATAGTGTTACTTGATAAATAATAGAAAAAACTGAATACTTCAAGTGAATTAATAACATAGATGTTTTGAATTTTTAATTAAAAATGGGATATGAAAACCTAAATATATTGTTCTGAATAATGTTAGTTGATAAATTACTTGTCTAATAGAATATTAATTTTAATAATTTCTTTACAGAATTCAAAACTTAAATGTTACAAAAACATTCAACCATAAACAATAGAAAAAAATAGTGGGAGTAAAAAGTAATGTGTTTTGTTAGATAAAATACCAATGTAACACTTGTGCATTGTTTTCACTACTAAAAGCCAAGATAAAACATACTTAAACTCAGCTGCTTTAGCATCTCTGATAGCTTTCCTCCATCCATCATACAAATCAGGATCAAATTTTTTTACATCGCCAACTTTTCCTTGATAATGGATGTGACCATTGGCCATTACAATGACCTAGAGTAAATATTAAGCACATGATTGAAACAAATCCTGGATAGATCTTTAAGTTAACCAGTACTTATTTTGCCAATATCTTTCACATGCATCTGATTTAATATAAGATATGCTACATAGCATTTTTTCCAATCAGTTTTTGTAAATTAGTTTTTGCTTTCCTTTTATTTATCATTGTAACTCTGAATAAATGTAAAGAATTATAATTAAATAAAGATAAGGCAAATTAAAAATGTAAAAGAAAATACAACATGATCATACCTGATGAGCATATGTTAAATACTGCAGATGGTGAGTTACTAGTATAACAGTGCGGCTACGCTTGACTAATCGTTTTAGTACTGCCTCCTCCATTACATGTTTGCCCACATGAGAATCAAGGGCAGAAAAGGGGTCATCCTAGCAGCATTAACATTTATAGAAGTAAGTTTTAGACTTGTACAAAACAAAAATTTAGACAAAATTGTTTCTTAATGATAATTTAATCAACATAAAATGCTAATAGTTTGGGTAAAAGTTTGATTAAAGGCTAGAAGTAGAGTTTAGAGCTATACTAAAGAGGTTATCAATACATAATATTAGGTTTAACGTTTGATTTATAGGTAGGGTTTAGGTTTGGGTTATTTGTTTTATAAAAATACATCAGCATAACTTTACAGCTGATGAAAGTTTGGAATGAACAGACACCCACCAACAAGACAGTTTCAGCCTCGGCATACAAAGCTCTGGCAATGCTTATCCTCTGCTTTTGACCTCCACTTAAATTAACTCCCTGGAAAAAAGTAAAAATATGAAAACAATGTTTTTTAAAAGATTAAAAGCTAATAGTTCAACACAAATACCAGTGTCAAAGAAAGATGTAAGGGTTTGAATTCCAAAGAAGGGGGACATTATTTTAAATACAATACTACTATAGTATAGATGTGTATATGACTAGATTAAACAGAGTAAGAAATATGTATTAATTAGGACGTTTCAAGCTAGTTCATATTGACAATAGACATGGTTCAAGAGTATGTCCTGTAGTTTTATTTACTTGATAGAATTTGTGTAGTGTGAGTATGACACGACGAGTACAGAATGACATAGATTAGAGAGACAGTTGCAGTTGGGGGTACGACATAGTAGGAATTGGAAATTTTGTAGACGTGTCTGTTATCTTCAATGAGATTAAAGTTTGTGTAGTATTATTCTTCTTTAGCGAGTTACATTGTTATTGTTACTACGCACAGAAGTAAGAAAGATACAGTCCTCGTCACAGAAGCCATTATATCAAAGAGTTCATATAGATAGTAATAATCTTAAACCAAACCCTCCCTGTCACAAATACCTTTTCTCCTATTTCTGTGTTATCTGCTGCAGGTAACTGCTCAAGATCTGGCATCAAAGCACATGATGAAAGAACCTTTTTGTACCTAAAAAAATTTGATTTCTCTAAATTAACTTTTATGACAAGACAGGTAAAAAGAGTCTCAAAATTTTTATAACTGCGTTTAAATTGTAAAGTTTCAATAATAATTTAAAATACTTTAGTTAATAAAATATAAAAAGATTATCATTACTGGTCTAAAATCTCAATAAAAACAAAATTGGTTAAAACTCTGAGTAGCAAGGATGTCCAAATAAAACCCTCTTACAAATTATATTGGATCTTTAAAGTAATGCACAACTACACATTTTTCATGAATGCCTGCTAGATTATTAAACATAAATCAAATTGGGGCTTAGTATTTTGAAGCTATTATTTATTTGAGACTTACTTTCTCCATACAAAAGGTTTTCCAAACAATATGTTGTCTTTTAAAGAAGCATTCAGCAGCCATGGTCTTTGTGACACATATGCTATTGTGACATTTCTGTGGATGTGACCAAAAGTTACCATTAGATAACATATATAAAATATTTTTTTAAGTTTGAACATAATACTTGTTTTTGTAATATCGACATAATTTTTTAAGTTCATATGTTACACACAACACTGTTTTTATAGCAAATTTTGAAGCTTTTTTTAACTGCTGTAATCTTAATATTTATTCTACTCAAACTTAATTAGATACTCTTTAAACGAATAGTAATCTCTATCACCCAGGCACAAGTAGAAAATTGAGAAAACTACCTGGCTTTGAAAATGTTCCCTGAAACTTGCGCCATCTCCCCCAACATAGCTGACAGCAATGATGACTTGCCTGAGCCAACTGGACCAACAACCATTGTTAATTTACCTGTAAAAAATATGGTTACAATCAGACATTAATAGATTCATTTTATTTATTTAAAATATAGTTTTTTTTTTTGGTAATGACTATCACAAATGAACAACAACTTTGTTTTCAAGAAGCTAAATTATTTTATATTAAAATCACTTTCATGTGCTTAATAGAAAATATTAAATAATTGATTTAAACACACTGTTCACATAAAAAAATCAGAAGTTCTACCTGTAGGGATTTTGATAGTTATGTCCTTTAATGTTATTTCTTGTTTACTTAGTTCCCATGAAAAATTTGCCCCCTGTGTTTCAATTGTGTTGGTAAGCTCCATGATTGTGCATTCTTCTACAGCTGCATCATCTTCCTCAACTGATCTCTGACTATGATGTCGTCGTCTTTTATAGTCACCTGCATACATTACAAGTAAAGCTGAAAGACCTTTTTTTTATATAAATATGTAAAACAGAATTAACAAAAATTGGTTCTTTTAAAAAATGCTGGTTTGGCAATACAGCATCAAATTTTTTTGACAGTATTCTTCTTAAGCTGAGAGAAATGATTTCAATATGATGTGCTAGAGTTGCAAAAAGCCTTAAAAACCAGAAACAAAACAAAAGATACCAGTTATCTCCGAAACAGCAAGCGCTGGTGCACTGGATTTCCTGATCAAAGCTGGGTTGGGTTTGACATCCAATAGCTCGGAACTGGTGGCATTGCGGCTCAGATTTGTTCTTTTCGGCTCAAGAAAGTTTGCAACCATGCTACCTCCACTGCTGCTAAGAGGTAAGCCAATGTTGACTGTTGACTTTGAGTCCCCGTGGTTCTCATATGCTGTGTTGCCTGGGGTGAGGTATTTAATACTGGTATTGGATGAAATACTGTTACGGCTGGATCGATGGTCTTTATCCAATGGGAGGAGTTCAAATGTCCCATGATGGGACTGGCTTTTACCATCCACAGAAAGCACAGAGTCCAGCTTTTCTATCTGTAGGATATGTAAACAAAACTCATAAGAACAGATTGAAGTCTAAAGTTTAATCTTTCAATATTACTTTAACGAGGTTAGATATTACACAAAAAATTATTTTTCATTGATGGTTTAGGATTATATTTTTATCAAAATCATTTTATATAATTTTAAAACAAAATATAGTATCAGTTTAGTAAAAACTTGCCTATGGCATCAAGATAACAATTAAAATTAAACCAAAAATGTCTTTAAATGAAGTAGGAAGTACAAAATACATACAGTTGCATGTGAAGGCGCTGATGAGTCTAGGCCGACACTGCAGGACTTTGAAAAGCTTGGCAAAGAGGAGTGTGGCCGTACTATCTCTGTTGCTAAAAGAAAAGGAAGCAGCCTCTGAGCACTGACCAGTGCATTTGCAATAGAAGCCGAAAGAAGCGACATGATCTGCCAGAGGCAAATACAAATTACACATTTTATTAAATACATAAGCTGACATGCTCTGTGAGTGGGCAATACAGATTAAACATTTTATTAAATGTATAAAAAAATGACATGATCTGCTAATGACTAATACAAGAATATTGACTGAATCATGTAGACCTAACACTAAACAATACAACAGTTAACAGTCTCACATGTTACAGTAAGGCTAAAAAAAATGGTTACTTGGAGAGGTCCTTGTAGAAGATTAAAAACAGCCAGTACTGCCATAGTTGCTCCAGCTGTGAGAGGCTTCTCTTCAAATACTGGGTACAACACGAATGTCTTAAATAAAATTGTATATACTTACAGTAAGCAATAGTTTATATATGTGATCAAAATATTCTAAAATATATCAATCTTAGAACAATAGCAGTTAATGAAAGCTATGTACAAAATTGTCAATACAATATATATTAATTTAAAAATAATAGCAATTAATGATAGCTATGCACAAAGTTTTCAATAAAAAGTATAACAGTTTAAAAATAATCATACCAGCAATGTACCAATCACTGGAGCACAAATGCCCAGAAAACCTGTTTGAAAGAATAAAATTCACTTATAACAAAGTGTTAGAGATGTGTTTATTTTCTTTAAAACTTGTTTGTAACTGTAACAAAATTGAGCTCGAATACTCCAATTAGACAGAACAATGTAAAACTAGTTACCCATTAGTGCTCTGAAAATATTACTAGCAAGCAAGTAGGTAAGTTCCAGATTTCTCGTTCGTTGTATGGAGTTAATAAACCCATTTTCCCAAGACAGTAACTTGATTACTTTAATGCCTTGAACCATCTCATTCACCTTCTTTGTTCGTTTGTCTGAGTGCACCTACAGACAATAATAGAGGAGGAGTTTAGCATTCTCTAGATATTACAAATATATCAACATGACAAAGGACTTATGACCTTATGTTAATGTTATAAAGAAATGAACTAAACTAGTTAACATGACAATGAAATTAAACCTGTTAAAAAGATTACAGTGGGATTTGACCTTTAATCAATATTATACAGTAATAAGCCTCAGATTGCATTTTATAATGTTCAGTTGTTCTATGTTTATTTAATTTAATGCTTTTTTAATCCTATGCTTTTTAAAAATCTTTGACATCTAAAAATAAGTACAAACACCCACACATTTTGTTTGTCATGAAATCCCCCCATAAAAAAAACATTGTCATTTTGCATTTTTAGTTTTAAACATTTTTAAACCTAATAGATCTAGGTTTTTTTTAATTTAAGACAAACCACCATATTTAATATAAATATTTCTTGTCTTATTTTTAAACTATTGTCAATTAAGCTAAAAAATGTGGGGGAAAAACAGCAAAAATATCAAATCAAATTGTTTTAAAACATTTAACTAGTTATTATTAAATTTTTCTACATGTTCTGTCCCTTAGAAATGTTAAAAAAAAACAATGCTTAAATAATTGTCAACCACGTCTTACCATTATTTTTTTCTGCATACGTGACATAGCAACACCAAGGAGGTACATAACTGGACCAGCAGCTATGACAAACAAACCTCCAACAAGTGCAGCAAGGCCAAGCTTGTAATACATAATTGTCAAGGAAAGACCAATCTGCCAAACAAATAAATCACTTCATTGAATAACAGGAGAAGTGGGACATCACATTTTTGCAGATTTAATTATATCTTTTGAAATTGTATTTTTACTTATTTTGCATTTTTTTTAGTTACAAATCAACATAAAATTTGATCAGTATATTTTGCATTTTTCAAGACTTTTTTTTTACAAATTGAAATTAAAAATGATCAGTATCTTCACACCACACATTTAATATTAGTTTTTGAAAGAAATCATTACTTCAGATAAGAAAAATCGCAATTATCAGAGGGTGATGCTGAAGTGTGAGTTCATTTAATTTAATGGGGTGTTTGACATTTTGAGTATAAAAATGAGAGTTTACCTGAATAGGAATGGCCCAGATGTAATGGACAAAGAAAAAGAAAAACATAAGAAAGGTAGAATCTATAGACATGTGATTCATAATTTGTCCCACTGTTGTTAGACCATTATTCATTTCTAGGGTTGAGAGTTTCAGTGCTTTACTGTAAACCATTGTCTGTAAAATATTAGAAAAAAAATAGCTAAATTACTTTAGACGGTTAATCACAAATTATGATAGGTAACACTTGAAAGCTTTTTATCTGTTGGCTGAGGTTTACATTTAGTAAAGAAAAGAAATTCAATTAATAAAAATAATATAAGTATTCTAAAATGTTATTTCTAAACTAAATGAATATAACAAAAAATGACACATTTTACAAATATTTAATAATCTTATGTGCTAAGTAAAAAACATTTTTTTTAATCAGCTGTACTCCTGTATTTTTGGTAGGAAAAGGTTTTTACAATTGCTCATCACCAACCTGCACAGCAGTTCTGGTTCTTACACCTTCTCGTATCACAAGGAAGTGGTGGTTCTGCAGCAAAGTGTGCTGTAAGACTGAGGACAGGAACAGGACCACGGACAGGACATAACCGTTTTCAAAAAACTGGTTAATGGTTACAAAGGTGTACATCTGCATTATTAAAAGAAAAAGTAGTTACCCTCAAATTACTAAAATATAAACAGCTTACACAATAAAATTAGAAACAAATATACAATAAAATATCATGTCTATAATTAACAGCCTTTACTAAGGAATTCAATGAAATTATTTTTAACTTACGATCAAAGTTATCTAGTTTTATTTTGAATTATGCCAAGAATTTATCAGAAATGTTATGTTATATTAACCTTTATCCAAATTATATGTGGAATACGCAAAAAACTAATCTGATTGTCTGACTAGAAATTATGTAATCTGGCTCTAAAAACAAATCTACTCTAACTTTTATAAAATGACTACCTTCACAGGTTTTGTGGCATTCCCTAAAGCCAAATTGGCCTTTTGTTCATCAACTGCAGATGCGTAATCAACAATTCTCTCTATAAGCAAAGGTCCAACAAAAGCCAGACAGTCCCCAATCAAACGAAACAGACCAGACAGAAGAAGCATTGGCCATGATGCTCTCAGGAAGGTGTACATTAAAGATGGCTTTCTTTTTTTCTGAGCTGCTTTGAACTAGAAAAATAATATACAATTAATCTTAAGTAAGAGCGTTTTCTTTTATTCTATTTGTAATAATTTATACATTATTGTAAGAAATGCTCAACATGTGTAAACAGAGTTTCTTTCAAATATTTTTCTCAGGGGAGGAAAAAACTGGTCTAAGTATATATTTTCTATAGGCCTATACATTTCTATTTTGTCCTCTGGGGTTAACAAAATTTTGTAAATTAAATTATTTAGAAAAATAATTAAACAGTTAAACTGAAGTGGATTTTAAAATGCTGGCATTTACAGGTAGCTATTTAGAATATGTTGATTTTAAATACCAAAAGAGCTTACTTTTTCTTCTTCAAATATCATTTGCAGTTTTTTATACATGCGAGTTGACTTTTCACTCTGAAAAAATAATGTATTAAATATTAAAACATAATATGTGTTATTTTATACTTTCTACATGTACATTAGCTATTTTTTCTATCTATATTAATCCATGTAAGCTATAGGATTATAAGTTTACCAGTTCCAACATAATACTAAAAGTAACATAAATGTATGAGGATTGCAGAAATGAAATAAAATAAGCAATTTTCCTTGTAAAATTAAAGTTTAGGACTAGTTAATAATCAATAAATCCTGAAGCTGATGTACCTGAGGTAATCTTCCCAAATCTTTGAGGGTAAGAGGATGTTTAAAGCCTTGTATCAGCAAATCTGTGACCCACCAATACACAGCTTGTGACAAAAAATTGACATAGGACTGTAAGTATTTGGTGTTTTCCAGATCTGATGGGGGCCTCATTCTTCTGTGTTTTTTAAAGAAGGAATATCTCTGAAATAGAAATAACACTTTTTTGATGTAATGTAATCTCATTTGAATAAATTTAGATTAAAAGTTATTTAAATTGCACTGTCTTGTAAGTATAATGATTCACTCTCCATTATCTAATATCATTAATTTTATTAGAAAAAAATGTAAAATGATAAAAAATGTTTAAATAATGTGTATAAATATATACAAATACTTCTAAATAATCAAGGTTTTTTAAGGGCTTGCTTAAAATCAATTGACCAGATTTTATTTTCATCTTTGTCTTTAATCTTTAAATAACAAAACAGTTGCAAGTAATAAATTATGGTTGGGTTGTTTTTGTTGTTTTATTTTCAAAAGCTACTTACCTGACACCTTAACACATTGAGCTCTGTCGTAAAAAGCATAAGGTAGAAGATGATGTCTATCAATGCCAGCCAAACTTTAAGGTGATCCAGAGTTAGATCATTCCTGTAGATGGACAGCGCCTTCAAGCATTTCAAAACGATAGCCATCGGCCAGTAAATTAACAGAACAAGCAGGAACCTCGGCGAGTTCCACTGCTCCACATTGTGGTAGAATATGATGCTCAGTAAGGCCCCAAGAAATGCTACGCATGCCGGCACAAATGCATGATAGTTTGTGGAGTCAGGGTCATTCAAGTCACTGATGAATCCTTCAGCTATCTCAACAATGATGGTAGTTAGAAGTGACAGGGTGCAGATCCACCTGAAACTGTGCCACTGGTAATGGACCCATGTTTTTACCTTCAACTTCCCTATAACGGAGTGGTTCCATACTGTAAGGATGAAGATACAGACAAGAGCAAGCAGTGCATGGGGGATTATATTCAAGACGTCCACAAAGCACTCATTCTGAATTACACCATCCTTGACGCTCATGGCATTCAGCTTTGAACCACAGAATCCCATTTTGGAGCTTGAAAGTCGCTGAGTTGAGTTGTAGTCCCTTTTATCAGCCTGCATGGTTGGAGTTAGGTCACAGATGACAGTTTAAAAAAATAAATTTCCATTACAGTCATATCATTGCATCTTGCACAGCCAAATGCTTGATGTAAAACTACATTTTTTACCAGCTGTTGCACATGTTTCTGGTTCACTTGTATAGACTCCAAGGTACAGAAACATCTGCATTTTCATATCTAAAAGTAAAATGTAGTTGTTTTCAAGTTAGTATTACATTACACTCCATCATACTTTTAATCACTCTGATAAATATAACAATTTATTTTTTAAATAAAAACTGATATTCAGTTATTTACAAACACTGAATAAACTAATTTGTTTTAAATTAATCCTATTAGTTGATAAGCCTACTTTTTATAACAAAAGTCTAAACAATTTAGCATACAATTCAATATATATAAAGTAAACTTTAACCTTTGAATATTCAAATCAAGCAAACTTCAGAAAATAAATTGAATGATTTTTTTTACAACCACTTAAATATATTTGTATATATGTATAATGTTTACATACAAGGCCTACATTTATATTTTTTTAACCCCCCACCCATGACAAATTTAGGATACTCATACTATAGGATGTATCATACTATAGTAAAAGCATCTGTTCATCTGTTTCTATCAAATCAACATATGAAGTAGGGGTCAGTGTGGTCGAGTTGGTAAAGCTCATAGTTGATAAACCGAAAAGTCTCGAGTTTGAACCCTCGAGCAGATGAGACTCGACAGCTGGGGAAAGCAAAAGTTCTAGGAGAGACAAGTCTAAAATTAAATAACTGCTGCCCTGTAGTTTGTTCTTTGTTTAAAGGTTATGGAAGCAAATCCAAAAAGAAATCGGAGTCAACAGCCTATGTGGCACCTAACAAGTTGACATGTATACTTAATTGTGTTGGTGGGAATCTCTTCCAAAACTAAAAATTAAGGACGCAGAAGAAGAAGAAAGAACATATGAAGTGAAGTGTTCTCTATGTCCAGCCACCTTTACTTTCCCTAACATGAGTTTGTAGTTAGGTACATATCAGAGCAACTTGGACTCAGGGACATTCTTCTGACTTCAAAGCGGATTCATACTCAAGACTTTCGGGGTTAGCAGTGTAGGGCTCTACCGTTAGGCCATGCCGTTCCCTCCTAGTCTAGTTAACTATGCTATATTCTATATACTATACTATATAGTATTATATGCTTAATATACTATACTAACAACTCTAGAATGACAGTTAATAGAGTTACTAGTATGCGGGAGAATTTGTGTAAATACAGTAGCACCTTAACGCATGAGTGCCATGAAATATACAAGATTTTTCTGATATGAGCTGTGAAGCAAGCTAAAATATTATCTGACATAAGAGCAAAATTTGAGAGTTAAGAAGTTCGTGAAAAAGAAACAGACCGAAAAAGTAGCAACTGATTGTGCATCTGGGCTATTTAATGACACTGTTTAACTAATTACCGAAACATTCTAAGAGGGAGGGACAAAATGTACGGCCTACGTGGAAAAATGGGGAAAGTGAGGAAAGCCTGGCATGAATCAGTGATGAAAATTAAGCTATAGTATAAAAACCTTATAAAGTAACATCTAGGTTCAATTATGTTTGGTAAAGTTTAAGTTCTTTTAAGCTTAGCATTAAGAGTATAGGGTGTTGGGGATTCCGAGACGCGAAAAGTGAAATGGCGAGGCGGTATACTGCGAGAAGAAAATGCTAGACATACCTGCGGAATCACAGGTAAATAGCAAGACACAATTTTGCGAAAACAAATTTTGTTTCATGTTTTTAGCGCAATTTCCATTCTGGAGAATTGCGTTTATTAACCCGTCATTTCTGGATGTGTGTTCGCAGCTTTAAGTCGTATCTCCTCCTCAACGAAGCAATATCGAGGACTAGTTCCAAAAGCAATTATGTTAAGCAAGTTACGAGGATAATAGTGGGCCAAAACAATTCCGGAATTCCTTCCTGGATTTCCCAGAAAAGCCAAAAAACCTCGAAAAAATGCAGTTTTGGCCCATATCTCGGCAACCAGACCACTTGGCGACTTGAAACGTTTACCAATCGATTCTAGCCATAATTTAGAATAATATTGCAGAAGAAAGTTTTCAAAAATATCCTTTCGTTCTGTCACAAAATTTTTTTTAAACTTACATTATACATAATACACTACAGTACTATATAGCAATATAGTTATATGACTAAAAACCATTGCGCGCCTACTGAACGTGATGGCGCAGCCATGGAACGTGATGACGCATCTATTGAACGTGATGACGATTTAAAATTGTTATGGATAACATAAGGAAATTGCGCTTAAATTGTCACTAGACTTTTTAATTAACTTGTTTTTTCTAGTTATAAACTAAAGATGATATATCACTAATGTTGTGTGTTCTTTTTTTTTTATCTAATTTGATTTTGTATCAAACAATCTTAACATCCTCTGACCTCCGCTCTTGTTTTCTTGTCAGCGGGAGAAAAATAGACTATATTTTTAAAATCTATATCTAGATATTCAAAATTCTAAACATTCTGACATTTTCTAATCTACGCGAGAAAAAAAGGCTATATACATTTCAAACCATCCCACATTTACTCATTAAATCTACATCGTGAGTTGATAAACGCGACCTTAATATCTCACTGCCTTGTTTTTCAAGGGGAAAAAGTATACCTGCATGCTGCAACGTCATTCAAGGTCAATACCTCGGTGAATCATTTTGTGCTTGGTTTCAATGAGTATATAGCCCTCCCTCTTCTTCTCCAACGAATTTTTTTTTAAAATTACTAACGTGGTCGGCGGTATTTTGGGCGATTTCGAACAAGGTGGTATTTTAAGTTTACACAAAAGATAGTTAAGTTGAAAAATCATCAGAATGTCTAGTGACAGAAAAATCAGAAGTTTTAACAATGTAAACAAAAAGGATCCACAAAAAGTCTTTAAAGTCTGCATCAAATATCACTGTAAATCTGTCGCTGTAATATTTTCGCAGATAACTTAGCATCCTACCACCCCCCCTGTGTAAGTATCAGGTGGTGGTAAAATGTGAGGCAAAAATATCACGTTGACAGACGGTTTTTGCGCCCTTCTCGCAGTTTACCGCCTCGCTATTTCGATTTTTGCTTCTCGCAATTTCCCAACACACAAGAGTGTAACAAGTAGACCTAAGTGAATTAAAGTGACCAAAAGGGCTTAGTAAGTTAAGCCTCCCCCTCTCACCTCCACCAGCATCTTCTGCACGTTATAATTAAAAAATATAGCCTAAGCCTTGATTATAATTAGACTCTATATCAGTGTTTCTTCCAGACTATTTTCTCCGGGGGGGGCACTTGAAATTTTCGGGGGGCGGTAGACTTTCTTCGGGGGGGGCGGACACTGTTAAAAGTATATATTTTCTATATAAATTATATAAATTTCATTTCGTTCGGGGGGCGGTAAAATATTTTCGGGGGGGCTTTGCCCCCCCGAAGAGATGCCTGGAAGAAACTCTGCCCCTATATGATTAATTAAATGAAAGGTTCAAACGAAAACAATTAGGCTATCTTAGCCTTTCTCCTAGTAACCTAGTAGTATCTAGAATATTTAAATTTAGAATCTACAATAGTCATGGCTATGGCCTGCAAGTATATTATTATTAATATTATTATATTAGAATAAGATCCTGTCATCTTTACACATTCGTGACATTGTGACTTTACAGTACACAATCAATACTCACACACTAACTCTTACAGTTACACTGTAGGGCAGTGTAGGCCCTGTAGGCCTAGATTTCTTGATATTTAACTTGATAAAAAAAAATAAGACTTAAAAGTTAAGAGTCTAAGAGTAATTTATACTAAGGACTAAGGAGATATTGATAAAAAATACAATTTAATAGAATATATCTAATCTAGATTTCTAGATCTGGAGTCCTTAGTTATCGAACAGGTATTGCATCTAGATCTAGATAGATCTAGTAGTATTAGATAGATCTAGAAATCTAGAAATCTAGATCTACGTGATAGAAATCACGGCACTAGTCTAGGAATAAATCGTACTGGAAGAACAGATAATCCATGTCCAGTGTGTAACCAGAAACTAGCAGACACAACTCACTATTCATCGCTATTTTGACCGAAGTACACACAAGTACACAACTTCGAGTAAAAATAGTTCACTATTGGCACCATCAGAACTATTATTATCATTGAGTGCTGCAGCCTACACTGCAGCAGAATACTCTAAGACGGTTTTATCTGTAGATGCAGATTTAGATCTACATATTTTAGATTCATATCAGTTAGAATTTCAAAATTAAAACTTACACAAGCACACGAAAGGAAAGATTAACAAAGAATAATTTCAACTCGTTATCAAATCATGATAATTTAAATTGAGCGGCCGAAAAAGTAGCCTAGAATTCTATATATTTTATATATTTACTAGATCTAGATCTAGGTAGATTATAGATCTAGATCTAATGTCTAGTATTATTCAGATTTATTTAAATCTCACTAAAGACTCAAGCAGGCATAATTATAATGAATCGGATTAATTGTTGATTTTTTTTCATCTACAAAATCAAATAAAGCCATCTAGATCTTGTTTACCCGGTGCAACGATGACTCTTGTCAAAGCCAATTTACAAATTAAAGCCGCCCATGACCAGGCCGGTGCGGATTCCAGAATTAGAAGAGTAGTCAGACAGACATAACTACTTTCATGGGCGTCAGCTCTAGACTATAATAGCGGAGTGGGCTTTCCTACCAGTGTTTCTTCCAGACTTTTTTCTCCGGGGGGGGGGGGGGGGGGGGGTACTTGAAATTTTCGGGGGGGGGGGGCGGTAGACTTTCTTCGGGGGCGGACACTGTTAAAAGTATATATTTTCTATATAAATTATATGAATTTCCTTTGTTTCGGGGGGGGGGGGGGGGGGGCGGTAGAATTTTTTTTCGGGGGGGGGGGGGGGGGGCAAAGCCCACCCGAAGAGATGCCTGGAAGAAACTCTGTTTCCCACTCAGCTATACCCCTTGAAAATATAAACTACATTGTGGGTCTACCTCGTGCCGACTATTATGTTCTATAATATTTTACATCTATATGATCGCAGACATTTCTGGAGAAGACGGGCGGACACATGTTAAAGTATATAGAATAGTTTTTGTATAAGTTGTTGTTTTTTTCGTTCGGGATGGGGGGAGGGGGATTGAGTTGCTGAAAAGATGCATGCAAGAAACTGATAAATTCGATACGAAATCTGGCAATGAAAACAGAACATTATTTTTAAAAACTTTATTGGTCAACTTAAACTGGCTAATTTCTGAAACATTAACAGTTATTATAGATATTATTTTGTGATAAATGCCGCAATACTCCCAGAAGTGAGGGTGGAATTATCTGACGATGTTTGAGGAGGGATTTTGGATTTTAAAAAGTAATGTTCGATCTAGGAACTGAATTTCAACCGTTATTTGGCGTTTTGTTTTTAAATGTTTTTGTACATTGTAATAGAAATAATTAATGTAATACTCAATGTTGACAGCAAGTAGACTATTTTAGAAAAAAAAATTGATGTGAATTATTTAAGAGTGTGTTCCGTTTTGTGTCGATGAGGGGGGGGGGGGGGGGAGGGGATTCGTGACTCGTCAAAAATAGCGTGATGTCGTTAATGTCAGTTTATGAATGGTCCTACCAGTGTATTAAACTATTTTGCAAAGACGATATAGACACAGTGGCGTAGCCAGGATCGTCTCAAGGGGGGGGGGGGGGGGGGGGGGGGGTTCCAATTTTTACCCGGGGACAAACTTTCGATTTGCACCCCCCCCCCCATACTTTTTCTATATACCGAGGGGTCTATGGGGTGGGGGTTATGACCCCCCCCCCTAACCCCCCCTGCCTACGCCACTGTATAGACATACATATAGACATACATATATAGGTTCAATATCACCACGTCACCACCCAGAATACGGTTTTAATACATTGTAATAGAAACTGAGCAAAATACTTTAGGTTGACCGAGCTCAGTCAATATGTTAGAAAGAAATCGATGTTTAAAATAAAAATTAAACTGCTATTCTTAGGAGAGGGAGTAATAGGCTGAGATGTGACGTCATTTTTTAGGGTAGTTCTGGCTTTTTGTGAAGATCTTTGACCGAGGGGAGGCGGAAGGTAAACATTGTCAAAAAGCATGACGTCATTTACGAATGACTCCTAAAGCCTAAGGGCTTCCAAGGGTAGGATACAGGTGTGGGGGGGGGGGAGGCAGGTTAAAAACGTAAAATGTATGGACAAAAGCAGCATAGTATGGCCATGGTGGTAACTGGGGTCAAAAATGCCCCCCCCCCCCTATTGCAATGTTCTTAAACAGTCGAACGGGGGAGGGGGTAGGGAACAACAATTTCTAACGCCTGCGTGACTATGATGCGACATGCAATACCTAAGCAGAGTTTCTTTCAGTTCTATCTTCGACGGGGGGAGAGAGCCTACCCCTTCCTCGCTAACGCTTTTATTATCAACTCACGCATATGGCTGTCGTGTTTACATAACAGGTAGAATCATAGAGTAGTAATATGAGAAATTGAGAAGGCCGATCAAAGGCTATAATATTCATGTATTGTGTATCTAAGTGCCTACGACCATAGTGTGGGGCCGGGGTCATGTTGCCGTCCTGTCTAATGTATGTTTTTTACCAGTGTCGTAGACAGGATTTTGCCATTGGTGGTAAAAAAAAAAGGCGTTCCCTTATACATGATGCCCTTTTGAACCTATTTTTACGGCCCCTGAAGATGGTGAAGTAGAGTTCACCCGAACTTGTGACCTCGGCATATGAAGGGTAAGTATGTGTGTATGGGCCCATATATATATATATATATATATATATATATATATATATATATATATATATATATATATATATATATATATATATATATATATATATATATATATATTAATATATAGGCCTATATATGTATGATATATATGTATGATATATATATGTATATATATATATATATATATATATATATATATATATATATATATAGATACATATATACATATATATATATATATATATATATATATATATATATATATATATATATATATATATATATATATATATATATATATATATATATATATATATATGGTAATCTATCGTTTTGGGTACGTAAAATCGCCCGCGGCTATTAATGTACGAAAACGTTACCTCATGGTCAAGGCTTTAATAGGAGTATATTGTCATATGTTTGTGTCAAATATTATAGATAAATGAATAATAAACCTAAATCAATGGCTAAATATATCGATATAGGCCAGAAATTAACTTTAAACAGCAGTGTCTGCAAGCAAGATTTGCTATATAAACAGCAGCCATTTGTAAAATAGAGTGGCTTCCCCCTGATCTCGCGCTTAAAGCTTATAAAAATAAAACAAACAAGATGGCTGCTATAGTAAATGAGCATGGTTGCATCTGTTGGAAACATCGCTAGTCTTCATTTATTACTGAAAAGTTTTAATTCAATTCTTTAAAAACAGGTACATAAATGAAACAAGGAAATATTTTTGTATTTTAAAAAATATAAATCCTCCTCAAAATGTGAAATAATTATTAAAATTTAAGGAGTCACCTGGTTTTCACATTACAAGTCGCGGGCGATTTTACGTACCCAAAACGATAGATTACCATATATATATATATAATATTGCCTATCACCCCCACTAACACCACCAGCTAGCGCAATTAATTTTATTCTGTCGTTTTTACATAGTATTTTTTTTTCATTTACCCCGACAAGCTGGTGACATAATTATTGAACTGCATACTTTTTTTTATAACCTCTTTGATTACATACTAAGGGCAGCATACTTTAGATTCCAAGGATTATCGTCATTTAATCTATCACACTGTGGCAACTTGCCAGTTTGACAGACCGTGAATACAATTATTTTTTAACTAGGCCACCATGCCGAATACGATTCAGAAATGAAAGTCGATATAAACTTATTCAATACTTTCATAACAGTTTATAGCAGTTTTATATTAGAGTAATTTATAGTAAAGTTCCTTTGTAGGACATTCGAATAATATGCCCTACGTCCCATTTAAGTGTAATATTATTCTCTAGTGCACTGCGCGCTTTGCATAAAAGGGGAGGTCAGAAAAGGTAACAATTTTGTTTTGTATTGTTGTAAGACCACGTGACCAGGGTTAGTTTTTAACTAAGTCGTGAAATGTCATATAGATTAGTCTAGTGTGTTGGCTAGACGGTCTAGATGGCTCTCCTGTTTCACTCTGTGTTTTGCCAGCTTTGTGTTTATATTACATTAAACTCCTTTATGTGCATTATGGCATGAAGTTAAAAAGTTGCGCCCTGCCGTCTTTATGTTTAATTTTGTATGGGGTTAGTAGACAATAACGAAACTCGTCACGAGTTTCTTCCAGACTTTTTTCTCCGGGGGGGCACTTGAAATTTTCGTCGGGGGGGGGGGGGGGGGGGGGGGGTAGACTTTCTTCGGGGGGGGGGGGGGGGCGGACACTGTTAAAAGTATATATTTTCTATATAAATTATATAAATTTCATTTCGTTGGGGGGGGGGGGCGGTAAAAAGATTTCACCCGAAGTGATGCCTGGAAGAAACTCTGAACTCGTGGCTTTTTTTTGTGTGCAGTATTAACGATTTCAATCACGACATCTTCGCCCGCCCCCTCTCCCCACTCTGTTATGAACACGTGTTTCATTTAAACAAAAAAGGAACGTGCAAGTACTTAATAATATAAAACACGACATTTTC